GTGCTGGGGTCAGGCCTCCTAGGTGGTGGTGGGGTCGTGCTGGGGTCAGGCCTCCTAGGTGGTGGTGGGGTCGTGCTGGGGTCAGGCCTCCTAGGTGGTGGTGGTGGGGTCGTGCTGGGGTCAGGCCTCCCAGGTGGTGGTGGGGTCGTGCTAGGGTCAGGCCTCCTAGGTGGTGGTGGGGTCGTGCTGGGGTCAGGCCTCCTAGGTGGTGGTGGGGTCGTGCTGGGGTCAGGCCTCCCAGGTGGTGGTGGGGGTCGTACTGGGGTCAGGCCTCCCAGGTGGTGGTGGGGGTCGTGCTGGGGTCAGGCCTCCTAGGTGGTAGTGGGGTCGTGCTGGGGTCAGGCAAGACACCATCAGATATAATAAGATCCTGTTGACCTGCCATAGAGAATAAACTTTGCACTGGAGTAGCAACATTGCATCACAGGATCACCAAGAGGCACCAGTGGGTAGGCTGCACCATCCTGGACTGGCGTAGAGTTCACGATAACGTTCCCCACACACAAGGTGCGTAAGAGACAAGGTAGGGAGGCCGGGAAGACAATGAACCGGTTCAAGGAGTACCTCCCGGACCTAAAACAAAGGGTGAAAAAGGTCATTTCACTTTCGAAAAGCAAGAATAATGTCTGGGTGACACAAGACACATTCGCCTTAGGCTTGGTGGCTGCTAATGTTACTTGGAATATGAAACACATGTTATTAATAAAAGTAAAAATAAAGTAAATTATGCAGTGTGTGTGTGTGTGTACTTACCTAGTTGTACTTATCTACTTGTGCTTGTGGGGGTTGAGCTCTGGCTCTTTGGTCCCGCCTCTCAACTGTCAATCAATATTTTTGTTTCTGCCTGTGTGCGCGCGCAGGTGTATTTATTGTTTGAACCTGCAAGAACGACTTCATAGCTCTTGGTCCCCGGCTTTCTAACCGCTGGTTGTGTGTGTGTGTGTGAGCGTGTGTGTGTGTGTGTGTGTGTGTACTCACCTATTTGTGCTTGCAGGATCGAGCATTGACTCTTGGATCCCGCCTTTCTAGCTATCGGTTGTTTACAGCAATGACTCCTGTCCCATTTCCCTATCATAACCTAGTTTTAAAAGTATGAATAGTATTTGCTGTGTGTGTGTGTGTGTGTGTGTGTGTGTGTGTGTGTGTGTGTGTGTGTGTGTGAGCGTGAGAGCGAACAGTCACCCAGAGCACACAGGTCCAGACCTCACGCTGCGGTAATCACCAGGGGGAGTGATTATCCTACACTCCCACTTAATTACCCTCGGCTGCCTTCATGTCAACACCCCCCCCCCCCAGCACCCCTTCCCCTGCACTTTACCTACATGTGAGGCTTTGCCTTAATAAAGAAGGCAAGTTAGAAGTAACTTGCCTACAAGTTTTTGAGTAGAATTTTAATCATTCAGTGTCAGGTGACACATATCAATCACGTGAGGTGACAGACACACCAACCACGCCAGGTGACAGAGAGCCATGACAGCGAGACAGGTAATACCAGATCTAGAGTCTATAGATACCAGCCCCCTCAAGCGCAAGGCGACACAACTTACGCACTTAAGGCGTAACTTTAGCGGCAAGTGCGCCGCCCAGTTGACACACAGACACGCGAGTAAGTGTGGGCGTGTGGGCGTGTGTGGGGGGCCGCCTATAATGTAAGGAGGAGTGAGGTCTGGTGTGGGTGTCGCTGCCACCCGCCATAACTGCTACCCCAGTTAACAGCTTCGTTTAACGACGGTTCCTGTATACTACCCATAAACAGTGAACGTTCAGGGAGCGGCTGCGAGCGTGGGCGTGGGCGTGGGTGTAGGTGAGGGGGTGTGGGCGTGGGGGGTGTAGGTGAGGGGGTGTGGGCGTGGGGTGTAGGTAGGGGGGTTGTCTGTAGACACTTTTGTTTTATTTCGAAATTTCGTCAGTGTTCTTAGCCAGGGTCAAATGAGAGTCCATGTTTTTCCAGCTTTATGTATAAATAATCACTACTCTCATGATGTCAGTAATCTGTCATGATGTCGGTAATCTGTCATGATGTCGGTAATCTGTCATGATGTCGGTAATCTGTCATGATGTCGGTAATCTGTCATGATGTCGGTAATCTGTCATGATGTCGGTAATCTGTCATGATGTCGGTAATCTGTCATGATGTCGGTAATCTGTCATGATGTCGGTAATCTGTCATAGCTGTCATAATCACTACTCATGACTGTGATTGGTGGTGATCTGACGGGATCTTCAAGAAGCTGTCAAGAAAGCTTCCGGAATCAGCCAGGCCAGAGCAGTGAAGCCTTGAGCCTCTTTATGATTAACTCGTCGCCTTGAAAGGGGGTGGAGGGGAGACATCTACTGCTAGATGTTACCTATCGTACGTTACGGCTCGTGACCCTACAGCAGCCAAGCTTTAATTACGTCTAGGGATACGACACAACTGCTGTTCTCAATAGCGAATCACCAGTATAACCCCTTGATAAGTAATGAGCACAAAAATAAAATCTTCCTTAGGACTGAAGAATAGAGACAATATCTTATCTATATATATTAAATAAATCTCAATAGCAAACAGATGATTATATGGTCACAATATATCACATTAAAAATATCACTGTATCTTCCAGACATTAAATTAAAATTATAATATGTATGGCTATGACAGAACAAAAAATGTATAACTTAACTCCACAGATGTTATCTCCCTGGTTCCCGAACAGCTACTGAATAACAAAACGCGGGAATCAACACACATTGCCTTGCCCCGCGAACAATTTGCCAAAGTACAATATTTATTATCTCAACAATGGAGCAATACATTGTGACAAGAGTAATCTTAATCTAACTTAATGAATAATTAATACATATTGATATACAAAAATAAAGTAAGTGTTTCTTTACATAGTAATTAAAATATGCATACAGAAGGAAATAATGGCATGCACACCAGCAACGGACGATCCCACGACAATTTGCCAGATACAGTTCACTCAATTATTATTCACCTCTGTTACCCACTTATGATCACATATAAATCATTAGTTCCCGTGGGAAAACTGATCACACAAAGAAATAAACAATCATTCCCACGATACGTTGGGCCTAACGCCAACACTGTAACATGAATGTACGTTTGCATAGAACATATAAGTATATCAATATACATGCTTGTAATTTACATACAATTATAAATGTACATATTAATATATTTACTTACGTATCTATTAGGAGTACGTAACACTAGACATGATGACTTACGTCTCTCACATGTCCTGCATGTTGTAGGCCATCCAGGCGGAGGTACTATACTAGAGTGGCAGGTTGTAAGTTGTCTTGTAAACGACTTGAAGTCAAATGACATTACTTTCAGTTACGTTCAGGCAAAGGCGCCTGACAGCTGGCTAGACAGCGCTTCGGATTCGTAGTCCTGAAGTTCCGGGTTCGATCCCCGGTGGAGGCGGAAACAAATGGGCAAAATGTTTCTTTCACCTTGATGCCCCTGTTACCTAGCAGTAAAATAGGTACCTGGGAGTTAGTCAGCTGTCACGGGCTGCTTCCTGGGGGTGGAGGCCTGGTCGAGGACAACTATGTGTTGATTTTACAAGTCATAATATTAAGACAGCAGATTATTATACATGAATTGGCCTGAGGGCTGCCATCTGTAGTTGCCTGAACGGGGGTCCAGGAAGCCGGCGGCTTGCCAGGGGTTGCCATAGACACTCGGGGTTGGAGTACCAGCACCGCTCCCGTGCCAGGTAAGTCCACTACGGGCTCACCATAGCCCGTGCTACTTGGAGCTTGTTCCGAGTAGCTGAATCTATAACAACAATAATAATAATCCAACCAGCATTTTGTGGACTAACTACCGAGATAAACAGTGATGAATATAAACAACTGCAAGTTAGACAAAGACACTCCAGAAGCTCGTAGCAACGTCGTAAGTGCTTCCGACACTTAACAAGCTTGTTAAGATGTCGCCTCACTCGTAAAACACAACTGCTCGTTGAGTACGTGTTCTGATGGCTAACGACATGAAAGACTGCACTAAACGAAGTCATTTCCGTTGTAAAAGAAGCCGTTAAAGGTGTAACATCGGTTGATGATGATGTAGAATGATTAGGATGGTCTGGAGTTTACTCGGTAGTGGGCAGCAATTGGAGTACCAAACGTCCACTGCTTTTCCTTAGTTTATTATAAAAATATATATATCTTGTACACCGGGCCAGGAGCTAGCTAGAGTGTGTAAGGGAGCGCGTGTAGACGCTCTGATGCCCAGGCTGTCTCTGAAGGTCTGAGGGCTGCAGCAGGCGAACGGCTACATTCAAATCTGCTGACAACGTTGTTGATACCTATTAAATTGTTTAGCTTAGCGCCGGCCATCATAAGAGGGTATTGGGTCACCCCATGTGTATGGCGTCCAACAAACGTAACACACAATCAAACCAACGCCAATCACCAATCATATGTGCAATTCCGTGTGAGATTTCAAGCAGCCCGTCCTCCTAAAGGCTTCCCCAGCGTCAAGAAACCGCCGTACTAATGTGCCCTTAGCCTAACCTGCCAGAGGACCCAAAACGGAAAACGGGACAGTGTGTGTCACTTCCGTCAGCCGCTTTCATTTTCTAGTACGACATTTTTTGGCCTTTTTGTAACGCATACGATCGAAAAGCGACGTTCTATGTCGGAGGACAGGTTGGTCTGGGAGCCTGGTAGAGTGAGGACGAGCCTGGTAGAGTGTGGAGGAGCCTGGTAGCCCGGTAGAGTGAGGAACATACTGGAAATCTCCCATAGCCTAGCCAAACTGTTAACTTCCTTGTGAATTTAATTATAAAAGTCTATCATCAATTTATCATATACTTTTTACTAAACATAAATTGTTTATAATTGAATCACCTAAATAGTGAAGCTACAAGAATGTAGCAACAACATTATTGAACGACCAAATGTATATAGCCTATTCATAACTTTTTCATTTAACATTCTACATCACTCGTGTTAAATTAGTGTTAACTTTGTGTGGTCAGACGGAGGGGACAGTGGGCGTGGTGACCAACATGAAGATCACTACCAACATTGAACACCGCTACGCTGTGACTCGAGTGTCCACGAGGCTCACCAACCCGAGTGCCACCGCTGCGCCTCAACAGTTCCAGCTGGCGCTCCCACAGACGGCCCTCGTATCCTCCTTCCTCATGTGAGTTACATATTTACTCACACGGGTGTTGTAGGGTGAGACTCATGTGTTTAATACAGGGGGTTGTAAGCTGGGGTTATATATGTGTGTGCTGGTTGTGTATGAGAAGTTTCTTGATATTGATAAAGGCTTGTTTAAAGCCTCATGTTTAATAAGGCTTGATTCAGTCGAAAAAAAGTTCACTGCAGGCTCACCGTAGCCTGTGCTACTTGGAACTTTTTGTTCCAAGGAGCGGATCTTAAGCAACATCTTATGCATGAGTGAGTGTATAGAGACGTCTTCACAAAATATTGACTATTTTATCGGCCCTATGGCTGGACAAACGTATTTCATATATATATATATATATATATATATATATATATATATATATATATATATATATATATATATATATATATATATATATATATATATATATATATATATATATATATAATATAATATAATATATATGTATGTATGTGTGTATATCACGAAAATAAACGTGATTAAAAATGTGACAGTGTCAGACCACGGAGGAAAATTGAAACAAGAATTTCCTTAAGTACTTTCGTATATTAATACATCTTCAGAAGGAGACAGATGTGGTCTGACACTGTCATATGTATGTATATATGTATATATGTATGTTGTAGGGAGGTGTCTGGCGCCAACTACACGGGCATCATCAGGAAGAAGGCGGCATCCAGGCGGATCTACGAGATGGCCAAGATGAGAGGCAAGACCACGGGACTGGTGGAGCAAATGTAAGTATTTTGGTCCAGACAATCTTGACCAAATGTTCCTCTAACATGGACAATATTGCTTCAGATTCTCTCTCTAAAGTTTCCAGCTCAAGAACAATTGGTAAATAACTTCCTATTTTAGATATAATCTCACCCTTGGGAACACCTTCGAAATATATTTCAAAATTTGTTTCACTCGAAATAATAATAGAAAATAATTTACGTTTTGTAAAGTGAGAGATGACGATGTTCTTGACAGGTTAAATGGTTTATAAATAAAATTACTTTGTAAGAAATTACAAACTTTTTTTTTTGAGGGGGGGGGTGAAAATTACCTATGGCAACTTTGCCTCAATAGAGAAAATCACTTAACACTTAACTCGGTCCTGGTCACCCATCCAGTTAGTTCACAGAGGGTGTGTGAGGGTAATACCTAGCTCTTGGTCCCTGCCTTATACATCAGCCTTTCTAACTCGGGTCAGGAACGAGGGGTTTCTCTAATTAGAGGTCAATAAGAGGTCAAACCTGACCCTACTTGGGTCAGTAGTCCCTCAAGGTCAAACATAAGGGCGCTCTCTGGGATTTTGACACGTCATTTTCGTCCCACATTCTCTGGATTCCTAGGTGGGGCGCCTGACAGCTGGGTGGACAGCGCTTCGGATTCGTGGTCCTGAGATTCCGGGTTCGATTCCCGGTGGAGGCGGAAAGCAATGGGCAAAAAGTTTCTTTTATCCTTATGTGTCTGTTACCTAGCAGTAAATAGGTACCTGGGAGTTAGACAGCTGCTACGGGCTGTTTCCTGAGGGTGTGTAACAAAAAGGAGGCCTGGTCGGGGACCGGGCCGCGGGGACGCTAAACCCCGAAATCATCTCAAGATAACCTCATCTAACTTGACAATAATGTCCTTGGGAATAACTTGTCCATGTGAATAATGTCCAATTTGGACATCAAAGATACCTAATCACTCACAATTTTGGACATAAACTTCATTTGAAGATTCACCCAAATCTTCGTTCTTCTTTACTGAACCTTTGAGCCCGTTAATGACGTCTATAACCACACCACAAGTCTCTCGTCGTAGACAGCAGCTCATTAGCGGTGAGTTTGTTAGTAGTTAGCCAAAGATGGACTTTATATAGCTCACTGTCATACAGAATAAGAGGGTTAGGACCGGACAAAATTAACGTTGTGTCATCAGCCTACAGACTCGAGGTGTTGGAACGCATTTAGAAGGTCACTGAAGGTCACAGAGAGAGAAGAGAGGGCCAAGTATACTGCCCTGTGGAACACCAACGTTAGTGGGGTTTGGGCGGGAGAATTTGAATCGTCCACAGAGGCATACTGGAGCCTGTCACTGAGGTTGGGCTGGAAGTATTGGAGAAAGTGACCTCTGATTTCGTGGTGTTGCAGTTTAAGGAGATTATTGTGGTTAGCGGTGTCTAAAGCCTTATGAAGGTCTACAGGGGGGAGGTATTTGTTACCTGACCTGACCCCCGAAACGCTACGCGTACTAGTGGCTGTACAAGAATGTAACAACTCTTGTATATATCTCAAAAAAAAAAAAAAAAAAAAAAAAAAAAAAAGAGTTGCACGTATCCAGTTAATCACACTAATACATCATTGGTGTTTTTTGGGGGGTCTGAAGCCTCATTGGCGGGGGCTAAGCTTTGCTAGTATAGATGATTATAGATTAACTTTTAAAATATTTTCGACAAGATAGGCAGGATTGATATTGATCTGATATTGTTGACACCCGTGACATCACCACTTTTATGTGGATGGAATTACTCTTGCTTTTTTAGAATATCAGTAAAGGTTCAGAGTTCAAATGGTTTGTTGTAGAGCATTGTAATGGCCGGAGCTAAATATTTAGGGTCTTTTTTTATATAAATTATGGTTGGTATCTCAGCAAGGGTACTTGACTTAGTTGTTAGTGAGAGAGGATTATATCATTGAGATATACAAGAGTTGTTACATTCTTGTAGAGCCACTAGTACGCGTAGCGTTTCGGGCAAGTCCTTAATCCTATGGTCCCTGGAATACGATCCCCTGCCGCGAAGAATCGTCGTTTATTGTAGTAAAGACTCAGGACAGCTGCCTGTAAGGTAGTTCTTAACTTATGGCTGCTTGGATTTCATATGCAAGGGAAGTGCCAGGAAGGAATGGATGATAAGAAACTATTGAATTCAGTGTCAGAGGCAGATATCACTCCATCGTCACCGCATTGATTTCTTATTCAACATCTTCTTTGATCATAATATTTGTGAAATAGTGTTTCATGTTTCCTGCATGTTGCCCTTTGACTAAATTTATTTGTATAGTTTGTTTTGGATCTTTTACTTATCTTAGCTTCTAGATACCTATACTTAGCGTCTAGAGGAGTATCTTCTAGATACCTATACTTAGCGTCTAGAGGAGTATCTTCTAGATACCTATACTTAGCGTCTAGAGGAGCATCTTCTAGACACCTATTTGCAAATGGTCCCTGACCTATACTTCTCTTAATCATGCTTTTTGTTGATAGGTTTAAGTGTACCTTTAGTAAGCCACTGATTGTTTAATCTTTTGGCTGTGGCTTGAGTTAATATTGGACAGTGGGTATTATAGAGGCTCAGGGTTTTGTGAAGATGTTTGCACCGTAACGTTGATGTTCACTACATTACCGAGTTCAGTCTCCCAGTTGATTTTAGCAGCAACAGCAGCAGCAGAAACAGCAATAAAGTTGCTTACAGAACCTTCATTTTGCAGCCCAAGACTTATCTTCTTTGAATCTAAAGGTGGTGTATTAATGTCGGTTAGAAGAAATGTTGGGTAACAATGGTCTGTGGTCCCGCCATTGGTAATGGTCCCACCATTGGTAATGGTCCCACCATTGGTAATGGTCCCACCATTGGTAATGGTCCCACCATTGGTAATGGTCCCACCATTGGTAATGGTCCCACCATTGGTAATGGTCCCACCATTGGTAATGGTCCCACCATTGGTTATCCCTGAAGTGGAGAGATTATGTTCGTCCAGATGTGGTCAAGAGTAGCAGCAGTCGTGTCAATAATTCTTGCAGGTTTGGTATGAACAAGTTCCAATTCACACAGCTGAGGAAACTAGCAACTTGAGGGCTGACAGAGATCAGTAATAAAATCACCAGATAGTATTAGTAGATTTTTGTTAACTTTGTTGTTTAATATCACATTTTCAAGGTTAGAGTTAAATTCAGTTTAGTTACACATGTGTTAGGAATTCTGTACAATGCTCCCACAGTCAGTCTCAGCGCCCTTGGCTTTGAACCGAGCACAGATAAACTCGTCCCAGTAATTTCTAGTTCTGATTACACTGAAGCATGATAGGTCTAAATTGTAGTATACTGGATCCACCTCCCTGGCTTGGCTTACAGTCGTGGAGTACAGAGCTGTTGCTATGGTAAACACAGTTGTGTTCTGTAACAGTGTTTCACAGAGTATAACACAGCAAAATTGATTACAACTCTTTGAATTAAGGCACAACTAAGATTATCATCAAGGTGTGTGCTATAGAGATGTTACATTTAAGGTTATAAGAGATGTAGTGTTGTCACTTGTTAAGCCATTGTTTGCGTCGTGGCTAGAAGATATTTACCAAATGTGTCTATGACTCGTGACAAAGTGACTGTGGTTGGTGTCAACTGTAATGGCTGGCACCACATAACCCACAAATCCACGTAACAAAACATATTATCCACATACTTGTATGTGGTTAATATGAATTATCCACATATTGTATGTGGATAATACATACTTGTATGTGGATAATATGAATTATCCGCATACTTGTATGTGGATAATACATACTTGTATGTGGAATGTGTACATATGAATGTGTGGTATGTGTATAACAAAACATATTATCCACATACTTATATGTGGATAATGTATTATCCACATGTATGTGGATAATATGTATTATGAACATACAAGTATCCACATACTTGTATGTGGTGATCATGTCAATAGGATATCTTCTTGAGGTTATCTTGATTTCGGGGCTTAGCGTCCCCGCGGCCCGGTCCTCGACCAGGCCTCCTTTTCGTTACACACCCCTCAGGAAGGCAGCCCGTAGCAGCTGTCGAACTCCCAGGTACCTATTTACTGCTAGGTGAACAGGGGGCATCAGGATGAAAGAAACTTTTTGCCCATTTGTCTCCACCTCCACCGGGGATCGAACCCGGAACCTCGGAACTACGAATCCGAAGCGCTGTCCACCCGGCTGTCAGGCGCCCTATAGCCAACGCTATTCTCGTAACTCAACTCGGCATTAAGAACTTCCATCTGAAACTTCTGTGTTGCAGATAAAAGCAACTACGACATCTGCTCCTTATTTGACCCGATTTTATGAAGAATGTTTTAAAGACATTACTTCACTTGACAGCTAATTTGCATACTTCATAAGACATATGATTAACCTTATAGTTTCTCATTTGGGTGCCGAGAGCCTGTTAGGCTTATAGTGGTCCCCCCCCCCCCACACACACACTCTAGGCCAGTTAATGACCTCCCACAGGATGGAAATGTTGCCTAATCCTGTGTATCTATTGACGGCTAGATGAACAGATGCATTTGGCGAAAAGAAAAGGGTTGCCCAAACGGTTCTATCCTCCCGCTGGGCTTGAACTCAGGGGGGGGGGCTCGGTTGTGAGCCTACGACGCACACTATTATAAAACCCACTTTTCTGCTTAGTAATTATGGCCTAATGGTCGAAGGTAATTATGTGGTGAGTGTTCTAAGTCGCCCCGTGTATGAGGAGCTGTGAGTGACTGATGCGGGGAGGACTTAACGTGATTAAGTGTCATGGCAGTGCCAAGTGTCATGGCAGTGCCAAGTGTCATGGCAGTGCCAAGTGCCATGACAGTGCAAAATGTCATGGCAGTGCCAAGTGTGTTATGAGCTCAGTGCCTCCTTACAAACGGCGACTCGGATTTTAAGGATTATTAAGTGTCTCTCTACTAAGAGGAATTTAAATTGTCAAATATTATTTATTATTAATAAATAAGCAGTTCAGAGTGATGTATGGTATAAATTATTGTGATTTATATTGAGCATGAAGATAATGACGGAACATGTATTGTTTTTTTAATTTTTATTTGTTCGTATTAATGAATTTAATTGTTTCCTTGTTACAACTATTAAATAAGGCTTCCACCTAACTTTGTGATGCTGTGACGTGTGTGTGTGTACTTAGTTGTGTTTGCGGGGGTTGAGCTCTGGCTCTTTGGTCCCGCCTCTCAACTGTCAATCAACAGGTGTACAGGTTCCTGAGCCTATTGGGCTCTATCATATCTACACTTGAAACTGTGTATGGAGTCAGCCTCCACCACATCACTTCCTAATGCATTCCATTTGTTAACTACTCTGACACTGAAACAATTCTTTCTAACGTCTCTGTGGCTCATTTGGGTACTCGGTTTCCACCTGTGTCCCCTTGTTCGTGTGCCCCTTGTGTTAAATAGCCTGTCTTTATCTACCTTATGAATTCCTCTGAGAATATTGTATGTGGTGATCATGTCCCCTCTAACTCTTCGGTCTCCCAATGACGTGAGGTTTAATTCTCGTAGTCTCTCCTCGTAGCTCATACCCCTCAGTTTGGGTACTAGTCTGGTGGCAAACCTTTGAACATTTTCCAGTTTAGTCTTATGCTTGACTAGATATGGACTCCATGCTGGGGCTGCATACTCTAGGATTGGTCTGACATATGTGGTATATAATGTTCTGAAAGATTCCTTACACAAGTTTCTAAAGGCCGTTCTTATGTTAGCCAACCTGGCATATGCTGCTGCTGTTATCCTCTTGATATGAGCATCAGGGGACAGGTCTGGCGTGATATCAACCCCGAGGTCTTTCTCTCTCTCTGACTCTTGAAGTATTTCATCTCCCAAATGGTACCTTGTATCTGGTCTCCTGCTTCCAACTGGAGCAGGAGAATAGGCAACCTGGTTATGACTTTGTGAAAGCAATGAAAGCAAATAGTAAAATATATTGATAACAGAAAATGGCAAACAATAGCCATACATAATTTTAATATATTGCCACACACACACACACACACACACACACACACACACACACACACACACACACACACACACACACACACACACAGTGTGTTCGCCTATTTGTGCTTGCGAGGGGTTGAGCTTTGGCTCTTTGGTCCCGCCTCTCAACCGTCAATCAACAGGTATACAGATTCCTGAGCCTATTGGGCTCTATCATATCTACACTTGAAACTGTGTATGGAGTCTCCACCACATCACTGCATAATGCATTCCACCTGTTAACTACTCTAACTACTTTGCCAAGAAAATGCTGGACGTATCCATAAACGGACAATAGTTCGCCTGGAAGGCTAACATCTCTTTCCTTGAGATCTTCGACAGCTTCAGCCAGTGAAACTGGCTTGAATCTTGTCAGAAATTTGGTGATGAAGTTGGCTGTGTTTCAGTGTCGTACTGGCCCTCAAGGGTTGCAATATATTAAAATTATATATATGGCTATTGTTTGCCATTTTCTGTTATCAATATATTTTTTTCTATTTGCTTTCATTGCTTTCACACTCGACAAATGAATGTGTGGAGTGTCCCCTGACCAACCTGGCCTCGTCCACCTGATAGACTTTTCTATCTACCACTATGAGGTGTCATATTGTCCAGGCCCCATGGACGTGTATGCTGAAACTGTATTTAAATTATATTCTTTGTCACCTTTTCTCGTAAGTTAGTTTAGGTCATTTATTATGCACCCCATACCCATCTTGTGGGCGGTAGTGGAAAGGGTTACAGAGGCACATAATGGGCTCAGGGACTGAACCCCACAATTCATTTAGCTAAGAAAGCTACAATCTTGATGAGCTAGTTACAAAATTCAGTATAAGTCATCACATCAACAATGGGTTCGAGATCGACCTCAATTACAGGTTCTAAATTAAGCAACTGACATATGTGTAGAGCTAGTGTCACAATTGATATGTTTGTCCTGCACACCGCCCCCCATCCAGTGGGCAGCGGTGGATAGGTTACAATCACTCAGTTACTACCTACAGTTAGCAAACTGGGGATATTTGGCTAAAATTTCTGGTAGCAGATCATTTTGAATGAAATATTGACACATCGCTGGAACATTGGTTATAGAATTGTCTCTAAATTCACGCATCTTTTCGCACTCCATCACATAGTGACGGAGGGTGTGCGAATAATTTTGTTGGCACAGTTTACATTTGGTCAGGTCTACATCAGCAGATAATGAGAATTCCCAGAGATACTTGTAACCAAGTCTAAGCCGAGCAGTAGTCACATCTAGAAGTCTGCTGATTTTTTTGGATGATCCATAGATGTGTGGCTCCTCTTGCATGATAGTATGATGATAGATGGAATTACTGGTGTCAATTTCACTTTGCCTCAGATCTACAAGATCTTGTTGAAGTTGAGCAATCTGAGAGCAGCAGTACACCGAGAACTTCACTCCCTGATGAATTAAAATATTTTGAACTGTTTGAAATTTTGAACATCCACTGTTCAAAAGTCAAACCAAGAAGTGCCTCATTTTATCCTCATAGTTTCCTACCTTGTACAGGCGATGAGTCACAATAACGTGGCTGAAGTATGTTGACCAGACCACACACTAGAAGGTGAAGGGACGACGACGTTTCGGTCGTCCTATCGACTTGAGAATGGTCCACGACGGACCGAAACGTCGTCGTCCCTTTCTCCTCCTAGTGTGTGGTCTGGTCAACTTCCTACCTTGTACTTCAAACTCACACTGTATCTTGTACTACCCACTTCCCCCAATATTAGCACTTAAGACCAATTAAGTACTTAATCTTTATCAGTGTAATAACCTACAATGCACTTTTTCAGCTTACCTGATATGCTAGATTAAGGTCCTGTCCGAGACGCTATGCGTGTTAGTGGCTTTGCATGGATGTAAAAATACCAATCATATGTAATCTCACTAATCCGTTGTACCTTCTTGTAAATAAAATAATTAATTATTACAGGGAAATGGTCGAGATCACGTATTATATTTTGTTTAGTTTGCCATAAAATATTTACGATTTTCTTTTTGAATTTTTAAACAGAAAACTTAGTTATGGGGAAACTCTTTTATCCAAATTTCAAGCCTACAAGACGAAACCAGAACTTAATAGAAAATTATTTATATCCATTTGTTTTTAAAAAGTGCCCTGCTTTTCATATATGTTACTCTAATCTGAAAATAGAAAGTTCATAATTTATTTTTTTTGCTTACGAATGCATTAAGAAGTATAATAGAATACCAGTAATATGTAGTACAAGTTCTTACAAGATACAATCCCCCGTGGCGCAGTGGTAAGACATTCGCCTGGCGCTTCGCGAATGCTTTGGCCTGGGTTCTTATCCTGACCGGGGGAGGATTGACTGGGCGCCAATCCTTAACTGTAGCCTCTGTTCACCCAGCAGTAAAATGGGTACCTGGTTGTTAATTAAACGATTTGGCGGGTCGTATTCCAGGGAAACTTAGGATTAAGGACCTGCCCGGAACACTATGCTTACTTGTGGCTGTGCGAGAATGTAACAACTCTTCTATATATATAAAATAGTATAATAGCACCACCGTGGGCGTTGAGATGTGAGATGTCCAATGAACAAATCCACAAGGGCCGTGACGAGGATTCGAACCTACGTCAGAGAACATCCCAGACGTAGGTTCGAATCCTCGTCACGGCCCTTGTATTCACCTAGTTGTGCTTGCGGGGGTTGAGCTCTGCTCTTTCGGCCTGCCTCTCAACTGTCAACTGTTTCAACTACTACCATTTCCCCCCCCCCCCGGAAGCAGCCCATGACAGCTGACTAACTCCCAGGTACCTATTTACTGCTAGGTAACAGGGGCATAGGGTGAAAAAAACTCTGCCCTCTGGTCGAGGACCGGGCCGCGGGGACACTAAAGCCCCAAAATCATCTCAAGATAACCTCAAGAAGGATGTGGGTCAGGGAGAGAGGTTATAATTATAATAATAATAATAATAATAATAATAATAATTTTTATTTGCAAGAAGGTATAATAATGGGTTGGCGATATTACATAAGACTGGTATTTTGACACATGCAAAGCCACCAACACGCATATGGCCACTGCTTTGCAAGCGGGGATGTTTCTGATGGGGGAGAAAGAAACAATTGCGCAGCGCGTCCCGCGGCGTTGCGCGGGCAGTCTGGGGCCATATAAATACTGGGGTAAAGAGGGGCTCTGCCCTCACTTCGCCTGCCCTCGCAAATCCCACCCACCTCCCCTTTGCAAGCGGCTGTCTTTAGATTCAGATTCAGATGTTTATTCAGGTAAGGTATATACATACAAGTGATGTTACATTAATGGATTGATATATAGATAGAGCTAGTACATACAATGCCTAAAGCCACTATTACGCAATGCGTTTCGGGCAAGAAAAACATTAATATCTAGAACTTAATACTAACATCTCTATCTCTCTCTCTCTATCTCTCTCTCTCTCTCTCTCTATCTCTCTCTCTCTCTATCTCTCTCTCTCTTTGTTTTCCCGTCATGCTTTGACCCAGTTGTCTCTCCTTGTCTCGGGCAGAAGGTTGTGGTGAAGGCGTTTGGGAGATGTTGGCAGTTATCATGAGGAAGAACTTGAGCCATTAAGACTATAGAGACCTTGGGAGAGATATTCCTGTGGCACCTCTGGGTGCCACAGGAAAAAAACACTTAGTATAAAAGTATTCAGGATATGGCTTTTTGTTTTTCCTGGAATGTGTTTAAATTTAATTCGTGCCTGGTTTGTGTGTGTGTGTGTGTGTGTGTGTGTGTGTGTGTGTGTGTGTGTGTGTGTGTGTGTGTGTGTGTGTGTGTGTGTGTGTGTGTGTGTGTGTTACTGGAGTGACCTGCTTTGTCACACTACAGGGATGATGGTGTTCAGAAGTTTGTGTCCAGTGTCAATGTGGCAGCCTATGGCGCGGTGACTCTTCATATCACCTATGAAGAACTTGTACAGCGCGTCAACGGCAATTACCTGTACTCCGTCCTTGTACACCCAGGCTATGTGAGTACATCCACTCTCTTCAGTCTGTAGTGAACACAGTCCTTGTACACCCAGGCTATGTGAGTACATCTGCTCTCTCTCTCTTCAGGTTACTAAGGTTATATTGAGCTCTGTGTTGAAGCTAGGATATGGCACGTTGTCATATCCTATTCGACAGGTTATGGCTCGTTGTCATATCCTATTCGACAGGTTGTGGCTCGTTGTCATATCCTATTCGACAGGTTGTGGCACAGTGCCATATCCTATTCGACAGGTTATGGCACGATGGAGACTATCAGTAAAAGTGCAATTTGTCACGTCAAAAAAAAAAATATTAGCATGCTTAAAAAAAAAAAAATTTACAGCGTTCATCTTAAATCATTACTAAACAGTTTTGTTGAATTTTCACATATGTGAACATTAAGATTTTAAGTGCCTATAACGATGAATTAATTGATTAATACAATAATTAATGTAATCTAGGAAATGTAATAGTTTTAGGAAACTAGAATTTTTTTTAGAAAAGCGTAAAGTTCAGTTGAACTTTCTACAACTGAACAATGGTTAATACCTACTCATTATGGCGTAATTTTCAGAGAATTCCGGTGGTAGAGATTGATGTCCACATAATGGAAAGAGAAGAGATTGTTGATTATAGGATTCTGGAACTGCCGGGCCAAGAAATGTTATCCCACAATCCTGGAACACGCGGTAAATATGATCTCTGGTTGACTGTAATAGGCTTTTGTTTATAGCGAAAGAGAACCTTGATTAACATAATTTCGATTGTGTATTTTGTTTTCCCAGATGTTTACTGAGAAACAATAGAAAGCTTATTGTTTCTCAGCCATTGGTTATATCTGTTGTTTTGAAGCCTGTGTTTCTGAAATGTTTTAATCTCGGCTTTTGCCTCTTCTATTCTTCTTTTTGTACTTCTGTCTGATGTTTACTGTATTGTTTCCCAGCCTGTACCTTTGTCTATTATTTCCCAGGGTTTGTTTCTGTTTATTGTCACCCAACCTTTACCTGCTAACGTGTGTGGCAGAGTGAGTGTAGAATTATTATTTTGACTATTGGCATCAGAGGTCAGTTAATGGCAGACGCGTTCTGGAACAGTTTTAAGCGTAATTGTTCCTGGAACTCAAGTGGGATGACGCCATTGTTAGCTTTGGGAAGTGATTCACGTCCATGTCCCCTAAAAGTCAATTTTGGGAAGTAATTCACGTCCATGTCCCCTAAAACTCCATTTTGGGAAGCTTTGCACGTCCATGTCCCCTAAAACTCCATTTTGGGAGACTTGTGTATCATCTACACACGTGGCCGCAGTTTGGAATAACTGAATACATAAATGAGAGTGTGGAATGTAGCCTGAAACTAATGTATTTTGTTGAGACAGTGCAGGGAGGCCCTAGGGGTCTAGGGGAGCTGCACCTTCACTACAGCCACGAGGACCCAGAGGGCGGCTCCGGAAGGGGAGTTGATGGCACCTTCACCGTTGCCTACGATGTGACCCATCACTCTGACGGCGGGGAAGTGCAGGTACTGACCTTATCAGCTTGCCGGTTTGTTCATGCATAACAGTTAAAACTTAACAGCTATAACTTAGCGGTTAATTCACCAGGATTATTGCCCTGTATGTCCTCCTAACACAAGCCTAATGTCCTCCTAACTTTACAAGCCTAATAATGTTTTTTAATTTATTTACATATTTGTGTGTGTGTGTGTGTGTACTTGTATGAGCTCGCCTATATGTGCTTGCAGGGCGAGCTTTAGCTTTTGGGCCTCGCCTTTTAGTGCTTTCTCCTAATAAATACTTTAATTCCCATCTGACCTTCTGGCTCCTAAGACTGGATGAAATTAACGTCAACTACCGTCCCTTGTAGCTTGTTCCACTTGCTTGCTTCTCTGGCAATGTGCTTTCTTGCGACAGAATGACCCATCTCGGTTTCCAGCCAGTGTGAATGTACTCGCCTAGTTGTGCTTGCGGGGGTTGAGCTCTGGCTCTTTGGTCCCGCCTCTCAACCGTCAATCAACTGATGAACTGATTCCTGAGGCTACTGGGCTCTGTCATATCTACATTTGAAACTGTGTATGGAGTCAGCCTCCACCACATAACTTCCTATTGCATTCCATTTACTAACTACTCTGACACTGAAAAAGTTCTTTCTAATGTCTCTGTGGCTCATTTGGGTACTCGGCTTCCACCTGTGTCCCCTTGTGCGTGTGCCCCTTGTGTTAAATAATCCATCCTTGTCCACCGTCAATTCCTTCATAATTTTGTATGTGATTATCATGTCTCCCCGAGCTCTTCAGTCTTCCAGCGACGTGAGGTGCAGTTCACACAGCCTTTCCTCGTAACTCATGCCTCTTAGTTCTGGGACTAGTCTAGTGGCATACCTCTGAACTTTTTCCAGCTTCGTTTTGTGCTTGACAAGGTACGGGCTCCATGCTGGAGCCGCATACTCCAGGATTGGTCTTACATATGTGGTATACAAGATTCCGAATGATTCCGTTCACAGGTTCCTGAACGCTGTTCTGATGTTAGCCAGCCTCGCATATGCCGCAGACGTTATTCTCTTTATGTGGGCTTCAGGAGACAGGTTTGGTGTGATATCAACTCCTAGATCTTTCTCTCTGTCCGTTTCATGAAGTACTTCATCTCCTATTCTGTATCCTGTGTCTGGCCTCCTATTTCCACCGCCTAGTTTCATCACATCACATTACGTTTACTCGGGTTGAAGTTTAGTAGCTGTTTGTTGGACCATTCATATAGTCTGTCTAGGTCATCTTGTAATCTCATACTGTCTTCCTCCGTCTTAATCCTCCTTAGAATTTTTGCATCATCAGCAAGCATTGAGAGGAACGAGTCTATACCCTGTGGGAGATCATTTACATATATGAGAAACAATATTGCTTTGCTCTTCAACAAGTCACTTGAACTCCAAACCTTTCCAGATATTCTAAAAAAAGCGAGAGTAACGCCTGTCCACAAATGTGGTGACCCCACAGATGTTAACAACTACAGACCTATATCAATCCTGCCAAACTTGTCAAAAATTTTTGAAAAACTTATATACAAGCAGCTTTACTCATATCTAGCCAAACTCAATATACTTAGCCCTTGCCAATATGGCTTCAGACCCAAAAAAAGCACTAACGATGCACTTATTAGTATGCTTAACTCGATTCATACAGCTCTTGATAAAAAGGAGTTCCCTGTTGGGTTATTTGTGGACCTGCGTAAAGCTTTTGATACTGTCAACCACCATAACCTTCTTCTTAAATTACATCATTATGGAGTCAGAGGACACTCCCTACAATACCTCGAGTCCTACCTTACTGACAGGCTCCAATATGTTTCTGTGAATAATACAATTTCTCCCACCCTACCCATCAACATTGGTGTTCCTCAGGGCAGCATACTTGGCCCTCTCCTCTTTCTCATCTACATTAATGACCTTCCAAATGCCTCCCAACACCTCAAACCAATTCTATTTGCTGACGACACAACCTTCATTTACTCCAGTCCTGACCCTCTTGCTCTAAATGCCACAGTAAATACTGAGCTAAATAAAGTCCATCTTTGGCTAACTGCCAACAAACTCACCCTTAACATTGACAAAACCTTCTATATTCTGTTTGGCAATAAATCCTCTAGTCTTATAAATCTCAAAATAAACAATACCCAAATTTGTAACAAATTAGATGGCAAATTCCTTGGCATTCTCATTGACCACAAGCTGAATTTCCAGGGACACATTCTAAATATATCAAAAAAAGTTTCAAAAACTGTGGGCATTCTTTCTAAGATCAGATATTATGTACCACGCCCTGCCCTGGTGACTCTCTATTACTCCCTTATCTATCCTTATCTCAACTATGGTATTTGTGCTTGGGGTTCTACTACCCAAAATCACTTACGTCCTCTAATTACCCAACACAAAGCCGCTATTAGAACAATATCCAACTCTGGCCCCAGACATCACTCGGTACCCCTACTCAAATCTCTTAATATGTTAGATATTAAGTCACTGCACATTCTCTCATGTGTATTATACATATATAAAACGCTAAACTATAATGCCAATCCTGATCTTAAAAGCTTCATAGAAGGTTGTAACAGAACCCATGAGCACCACACCAGAAATAAATACAGTTTTGATATTCCTAGAGTACGTCTTAATCAAACTAGAAATGCTCTGCAAATCAAGGGGCCCAGAATGTGGAATGACCTTCCCAACCATGTTAAAGACTGTACCTCTCTCAACCAGTTTAAGATAAAAACTAAACACTACCTAATAAATTCCCTGTAATCTACCTCACTCCTCTATTGTCAACCCATGTCTGTTATTTTTTTTTTTTTTTTTTTAATCAACACTGTTTGTCAACCTATTGTATTTGTGCTGCTTTTTCAGTCATGTTCCCCCTTTTTTTTATCTTTATTTGTATTTGTTCTCAACATCTTTTATTCTTTATGCTCAATTAGTATTAAGTTCTAGATATTAATGTTTTCTTGCCCGAAACGCATTGCGTAATAGTGGCTTTAGGCATTGTATGTACTAGCTCTATCTATATATCAATCCATTAATGTAACATCACTTGTATGTATATACCTTACCTGAATAAACATCTGAATCTGAATCTGAATATAGGTCCAAGCACTGATCCCTGTGTGACTCTTGCCTAATTTGTGTTGCCTGGTCATAGAATTCAATCGACCCTGTGAGGCAGGACTTGCCATCTCTGAACCCATGTTGATGCTGTGTTACAAAGTTCTTTTACGCCAGATGTTCCACTATTTTTTTCACACAATCTTCTCCGTCATCTTGTATGGTATGCAAGTTAGGGACAGTGGCCTGTGGTTCAGTGCCTCCTGTATTCACCAAGTTGTGCTTGCGAGGGTTGAGCTCTGCTCTTTCGGCCCGCCTCTCAACTTTCAATCAACTGTTACTAACTACTTTTTTTTCACACCCACACACACCCCAGGAAGCAGCCCGTAACAGCTGTCTAATTCCCAGGTACCTACTTACTGCTATGTAACAGGGACATCAGGGTGAAAGAAACTCTGCCCAATTGTTTCTGCTGGCCTCGGGAATCGAACCCTGGTCCACATGACTACGTATCAAGCATGCTGTCCACGCAGCCACCGGCCCCACGTGTGTGTGTGTGTGTGTGTGTGTGTGTGTGTGTGTGTGCAAAAAAAAATAGTCAATTGATAAACCATATTATTTGTTGATGAAAAACTGAGAGAAAGTTGTGACTAAAACTTAACTAGATTCAGATCAGATGTTTATTCAGGTAAGGTATATACATACAAGTGATGTTACATTAATGGATTGATATATAGATAGAGCTAGTACATACAATGCCTAAAGCCACTATTACGCAATGCGTTTCGGGCAAGAAAACATTAATATCTAGAACTTAATACTAATTGAGCATAAAGAATAAAAGATGTTGAGAACAAATACAAATAAAGATAAAAAAAAGGGGGGAAACATGACTGAACAAGCAGCACAAATACAATAGGTTGACAAACAGTGTTGATTAAAAAAGAAAAAAAAAAAGAAAAAGAAAATAACAGACATGGGTTGACAATAGAGGAGTGAGGTAGATTACAGGGAATTTATTAGGTAGTGTTTAGCTTTTATCTTAAACTGGTTGAGAGAGGTACAGTCTTTAACATGGTTGGGAAGGTCATTCCACATTCTGGGCCCCTTGATTTGCAGAGCATTTCTAGTTTGATTAAGACGTACTCTAGGAATATCAAAACTGTATTTATTTCTGGTGTGGTGCTCATGGGTTCTGTTACAACCTACTATGAAGCTTTTAAGATCAGGATTGGCATTATAGTTTAGCGTTTTATATATGTATAATACACATGAGAGAATGTGCAGAGACTTAATATCTAACATATTAAGAGATTTGAGTAGGGGTACCGAGTGATGTCTGGGGCCAGAGTTGGATATTGTTCTAATAGCGGCTTTGTGTTGGTGTGAAGTATGAAGTATGAAGTATGAAGTATGAACTATGAAGAAAGGGTTGAAAATGTCTTAAAACTTAATTAATTAAGCAAGTCTTCAATGACAATTGACTGTAATCACCTTGTTTCAGCGCGTCGGCAACTACTTCACACACTACTTCTCCCCCGAGGGGCTGCCCAAACTGGCCACCCACACAGTCTTCCTCATTGATGTCTCCTTCTCCACCCACGACGGCCAGCTGGCAACACTGCAGGAAGCCTTGACATCAGTACTCGAAGGAATGAACGCAACAGACACCTTTGAGGCAAGTTCGAGACTAATATCTCTCTCTCTCTTCTCTCCTCTCTCTCTCCCTCCTCTCTCTCTCTCCTCTCTCCTCTCTCTCTCTCTCTCTCTCTCTCTCTCTCTCTCTCTCTCTCTCTCTCTCTCTCTCTCTCTCTCTCTCTCTCTCTCTCTCTCTTTTCTCTCTCTCTTTTCTCTCCTCTTCTCTTCTCTCTCTTCTCTCTCTTCTCTTCTCTCTCTTCTCTCTCTCTCTCTCTTCTCTCTTCTCTCTCTTCTCTCTCTTCTCTCTCTCTCTCTTCTCTCTTCTCTAGAATTACTCATTATTGCTAACTAAGATAATTAGACGAGCCAAAACTAATTACTACGAAGATAAATTTACTCAAATAAAGAGCAACATTAAACAAACTTGGAGCACAATTTCACAAATATTGGGATCAAAGAAATCTTTAAATAACAAACCGACTCTCCTGTCTAATAACGATGGTCAGCTTTCAGCCTCTGATTCTGCTATTGAGTTCAATAGGTTCTTCTCTTCCATTGGTTCATCCCTTGCAAATGATATTCCATCTTCCAGTACTGACATTAAGGACTATCTTACAGGTAACTATCCACAGTCTCTGTACCTAAAGCCTATTAACTCCACTGACGTCAATGAGATAATCCTTTCCCTTAAAACCAAGTCTGGTGCCCTTGAGGAGATACCAACTTTAATTTACAAAAAAGCCTCCAGATCTTTAGCCCCTGCTATTGCTTTGCTCTTCAACAAGTCACTTGAACTCCAAACCTTTCCAGATATTCTAAAAAAAGCGAGAGTAACGCCTGTCCACAAATGTGGTGACCCCACAGATGTTAACAACTACAGACCTATATCAATCCTGCCAAACTTGTCAAAAATTTTTGAAAAACTTATATACAAGCAGCTTTACTCATATCTAGCCAAACTCAATATACTTAGCCCTTGCCAATATGGCTTCAGACCCAAAAAAAGCACTAACGATGCACTTATTAGTATGCTTAACTCGATTCATACAGCTCTTGATAAAAAGGAGCTCCCTGTTGGGTTATTTGTGGACCTGCGTAAAGCTTTTGATACTGTCAACCACCAAAACCTTCTTCTTAAATTACATCATTATGGAGTCAGAGGACACTCCCTACAATACCTCGAGTCCTACCTTACTGATAGGCTCCAATATGTTTCTGTGAATAATACAATTTCTCCCACCCTACCCATCAACATTGGTGTTCCTCAGGGCAGCATACTTGGCCCTCTCCTCTTTCTCATCTACATTAATGACCTTCCAAATGCCTCCCAACACCTCAAACCAATTCTATTTGCTGACGACACAACCTTCATTTACTCCAGTCCTGACCCTCTTGCTCTAAATGCCACAGTAAATACTGAGCTAAATAAAGTCCATCTTTGGCTAACTGCCAACAAACTCACCCTTAACATTGACAAAACCTTCTATATTCTGTTTGGCAATAAATCCTCTAGTCTTATAAATCTCAAAATAAACAATACCCAAATTTGTAACAAATTAGATGGCAAATTCCTTGGCATTCTCATTGACCACAAGCTGAATTTCCAGGGACACATTCTAAATATATCAAAAAAAGTTTCAAAAACTGTGGGCATTCTTTCTAAGATCAGATATTATGTACCACGCCCTGCTCTGGTGACTCTCTATTACTCCCTTATCTATCCTTATCTCAACTATGGTATTTGTGCTTGGGGTTCTACTACCCAAAATCACTTACGTCCTCTAATTACCCAACACAAAGCCGCTATTAGAACAATATCCAACTCTGGCCCCAGACATCACTCGGTACCCCTACTCAAATCTCTTAATATGTTAGATATTAAGTCACTGCACATTCTCTCATGTGTATTATACATATATAAAACGCTAAACTATAATGCCAATCCTGATCTTAAAAGCTTCATAGAAGGTTGTAACAGAACCCATGAGCACCACACCAGAAATAAATACAGTTTTGATATTCCTAGAGTACGTCTTAATCAAACTAGAAATGCTCTGCAAATCAAGGGGCCCAGAATGTGGAATGACCTTCCCAACCATGTTAAAGACTGTACCTCTCTCAACCAGTTTAAGATAAAAACTAAACACTACCTAATAAATTCCCTGTAATCTACCTCACTCCTCTATTGTCAACCCATGTCTGTTATTTTCTTTTTTTTTTTTCTTTTTTTTAATAAACACTGTTTGTCAACCTATTGTATTTGTGCTGCTTTTTCAGTCATGTTCCCCCTTTTTTTTTATCTTTATTTGTATTTGTTCTCAACATCTTTTATTCTTTATGCTCAATTAGTATTAAGTTCTAGATATTAATGTTTTTCTTGCCCGAAACGCATTGCGTAATAGTGGCTTTAGGCATTGTATGTACTAGCTCTATCTATATATCAATCCATTAATGTAACATCACTTGTATGTATATACCTTACCTGAATAAACATCTGAATCTGAATCTGAATCTACAGAAAACTCCTCACCCCAGAATGATTCGAACCCAGACAGCCAGGACTCCATGAATCTCAGCGTATCCAGTACCATACCAACTACACCATACTGACTATATAAGAAAGGTTGGAAGTCATGAAACTTTTAACCCAACCTCCCGACAGCACTTCGACGAGCCGCCGGCTTCCTGTCCTCGTCGAGGCCACTAGTGTTGTACTAGCCCTATCTATAAATCCATCACTCTTTGTAAAATCTCTTGTATGTATGTACCTTACCTAAATAAACATTTGATTTGATTTGTTAGAGGCTCTCGGGTAAGACTTGGAGACACCCGGCTGTGTCCGGGTCTCTCTGCCTTCTCAACTTCCCCATCTCCCGTCTCCACCTTCCTCCCCTTCTGTTCAAACATCCCCCCCTCTCGCCCCCTTTCTTCCCTCCTCTTCCTTTCCTCTTTCCTCCACCTCTATGACCAAGCTCAAGAAATCTCGGGACTTAGCCACCCCTCATTAGGTGAGTACATTAGGTAGGTGAGTACTAGTTATGGGGAGGGAGGTGGGGGTGGGGGGTACTTTTCTGCCCGACCATGCTTTAACAGGACCAATAGGACCGACCCCCAAGTAGCCTATGTCCGTCCTGTACCCCGACTCATTCACCTTGCAAAGTGGGATGAGGCTAACTCCAAGCATTTGTCCTGCAACCTTGGCCAGACAAATACATATTCATTCTTATTGACACTATAGCACTATCTGACTTTACCTGAATTTACTTGAGGGCCGCTAGTGGCCTGGACGAGGACAGGAAGTACCAGTACATGGTGCACATTACACTGCTATCAGTACAAGGTGTACAGTACACATATATCAATTCCTTACACACAGAAATCACAATAGCGTGATATATCAAATGAACAAATCCACAAAGGCCGTGATGAAGGGTTTGAACCTACGCACGGAATGTTCCCAGATGCGCCTTAGTCAACCTTGAGAATTTGTTTATCAATTCTTGTTTGATGATGACTCTCCTTCCTCAGGTGTTGGCCTTCTCCTCAGACGTGGTCAACGTCGGGTCCTTCACGGGCGAGCCGCACCAGGTCAAGACAGCGATCAGGAAGGTCAAGCGGCTGGTGTCTCTCGGGTATTCCAATCTCAATGCTGCTCTTCTCCAGGCCATCAGAACTGCCAACAGCTATGAGGGTCACGCTGTTAAACAGGTGAGTGAGTCATGCAGATTTAACGAGTAAGACCTGTTTTTAACATGCTCTCCATTACAGGAATACAGGTTCTAGAGTGAATGAACTGTAGTTTCTGAATTTAAATTTGTGGACTCTTTGTGTACATGCTTATAAAGACATTTTGTAAAACATTACCACACCCAAAGTGAATTTTGAGTTTAATGTTATCTTCACCTGCAGTGTTCTTTGCTCTTGACTGAGATGAGTATCTTCCCGAGGGGGCCCTTTTGGTACCTTTGTTTGTGAGCCTCGGGCGCATTATACACAGTGCCCTGAGGCTCCCAGTTACTTGCATGCTGCTTGCACTGTTCAAGACGAGCCTTTCATTGCCTTTCCACTGGAGACTTTCGGCGCCGTGGAGAGCGGGGACCCTGCTACATGGGTGACAGCTTCTTCCCCGTATCAACCTACCCTGGCTTTGCGCCCTGGAGAGGCCACTCCAGACCGACAACTAGAGCGCAACTCCATAGTCTCCCGAGACTGATGGATGCCTACTACTACTGGTGTGTCCGGGCCGTAGTTTAGAAATGATACTACTTATTGCAACTATTTGGTCAAACGTACCAGCATGTGCTGCTGAACCCCCCAAAAGTTCACGTTTTGTGCTATTAATTGTGTAAAGGGCAAGAAAAAACTAAAAACCAAAGTTAAACATTCTTAGGCTTAGTATAGCACATATATGTACTATATTAAGCCTAGGATAACTAAGACAGATTAGATTGTTTTCTTACATTTCCAATTTCTTAAAATGCCATTTGGGCTAATTCATTAAAAAAAACATGAGCTTGTCGGGGCCCAACAGAACATACACTTGTGACCAGAGAGTTACTGTGTTATATTTGGATGGGCTCTAGTGTCAAATATCTTTTGTGTCTAGGCCGGCCTCTCTGGGATCACTCACGAGGGGGTCCGGTTCTGCCAGCCAGCTGTTATCAAGTTGTGCGCAAGTATGCTGCTCTGACACCTTTGTTAATCGACTTGAGAATGGTCCAGGACGGACCGAAACGTCGTCGTCCCTTATCACTTTCTAGTGTGTGGTCTGGTCAACATACTTCAGCCACGTTATTGTGACTCATCGCCTGCACCTTTGTTAATATGACTATGACTCGTGTCTGGCAGTGCTACGGGGTCATTTCCTCTTGTTACTTGATGAATATTGACCTCCCTGTATTTATTTTGTTGTGAGCATGTCACACAGCTCAGTCTTCTACCTAGGGCCGCCCTCAGTAGGTTGTTGTTGTTGTTAAAGATTTGCTACTTGGAACAAACAGTTCCAAGTAGCACAGGCTATGGTGAGCCCGTAGCCTCAGTAGGTGATATAACGTGGGTCAGCCGAGCTCACCTATTCTGTTTTGCTAATTCCCTTTCCCTTTAGGGAAAAAGCCAATCTTCTCCACCATGGCGCCGATGTGAGTAAGCTCAGATAGCATCCGAGGAATCCTTCCAGGCACTCAAGCACTGAATCCTCCTCTGGTGGGAGGTACCTCCCTCCCAGTACAGTACCTCCCATGGTGGCTGAGGTACTTCACGGCCACGTTGTTTATCCCCCATAGCAATGATCAGTTACCTTGTTAACCTGGGAGTTTCTAATTCCTCTCAAGCAGTCACTTGTTTTGCTTCACCTATGGGTGAAAGCCCATATTACCTTTCTGATGGGCTTTTCCTAGGTTTTGGGAGGATCTCTGCTTTCCAAACTTCCACTGGCTCATAGAGGCAGCCATATCCTGGCACCCGATAAGGATGGGGCCCAGGAGCCCAGTGTGATTAACTGAGGATTGGTAGTACCGGCACTTTAGCTTGGGAAGCTCCAGAGAGGTCCACCAGAAAATAGCATATTGTTACTTTCAAATCTTGTTTTTTCTTTTGCCAAGCAGAAAATCTGTAAGTACATTGTAGTAGGAGTAGGCATCCATCAGTCTCAGGAGACTATGGAGTTGCGCTCTGGTTGTCGATCTGGAGTGGCCTCTCCAGGGCGCAAAGTCAGGGTAGGTTGATACTGAGAGAGAAGCTGTCACCCATGCAGCTACCTTCTATTGGGGGTAAAGCGACAGTTATCCATGCCTGCTTAACTCTCCTCCTTTTTCAGCAGATGCATGATGACATTACTAAGGCCAGAGTACAACAGTAGATTACGTATGTTTCCCACCTGATAACTACCTTGCTCTGCCACCGTCCGTCAGATAGTGGTGTTCACGGACGGGCTGGCCACCAGCGGCGTCACGGACCCTGACACCATCAGGAGGAATGTGCGGGAAGCCAACTCTCAACTCCATCCCATATTTGCTTTGGTTTTTGGCAACGATGACATGAAGTAAGTTGTAAACAGTGTGCATTACTTGGCAAAATCAATAAAGGCACGCAAAATAATCAACTTTGCAAATATTTTTCCTGATAAAAATTCATGATTTTGTATAAATTCATAAAAATTTTCTTGATTTTACATAGATTTATAAATGTATATACCATTTAAAATTATTTACAAGTGTTATTGACTAAACATTTCTAATATATATAAAAACTGTGATTGTAAGTGATTACACTCATCTAGTTGTGCTTACGAGGGGTCGAGCTTTGGCTCGTTGGCTCTGCCTCTCGACTGACCTGCCAATTGTATTCCCCTCAGGCTTCTTGATCATATCAGCACAGACAGCACAGGCTTTGCTCACTACGTTCAGCTTGGGCCTCAGCTGGCGAGTGATATCAGGACGTTCTGTCAGCAGTTATCCAAGCCGCTGTTAACACAACTGGATATAAGGTATCCAGAGGCCAGTGTTGATCCTAACACTGTGGCCAAGCCAAGAATCTCCAGCTACTACTCTGGAGGGGAGGTTAGTGATGCCTTGAGTTTGTCTGTTACTTGCTCTACCTGTCACTCACTCTACCAGTACTGGTGGCCATGGTGGGTCACCAGTACTGGTGGCCATGGTGGGTCATAAACTATCTTACAGAAGGAATAGAGAATTATATATGAACATGTTTTACCTGAATTTACCTGAGAGGCCACTAATACTAGTGGCTTCGACGAGGACAGGAAGCTGGCGGCTTGTCAAAGGTCCCCCTATTTGTCCCGATGATTTTTTTTCCAAGCTGTATTTTAGAACCCAGCTGAGTTTTGGCATTTGCCGATGATGCTAAGATACTGTGGAAGACAGGAGACACAGACGATTGTAATGAAATTTAAATTAATCTACTTAAAGTAAGTGCTTGAAGCGTCAAGTGGCAAATGGAATTCACTGTGAATAAATGCCATGTTATGAAATGTGGAATCGGAGAAAATAGACCACACACAGCTTATCAATTATGTGGAAAAGAATTACAGAACTCTTATAAAGAAAGAGACCTGGGGTAGTTTTGGATAGTAAGCTGTCACCAGAGGAACACATAAAGAACATTGTGAGAGGAGCGAATGTGTCGCTTTCCAACTTCAAACTTGCTTTTATAAATAAAAGCAAGTAATTATTATGGATGGTGAAATACTAAAGAAACTGTTCATGACATTTGTGAGACCAAAATTGGAATATGCAGCAGTTGCATGGTGCCCAAATCTCAAGAAGCACATCAATAAACTGGAAAAGGTGCAACGGCATGCTACAAAATGGCTTCCGGAACTGAAAAACAAGAGTTACAAGGAGAGGTTAAATATGCCAAAACTAGAAGATAGAAGAGAGGTGATATGATTACCACTTACAAAATAATAACAGGAATCTCCCAAATTGACAGAGACGAATTCCCGAGACCAGCAACTTCACGAATAAGAGGACACAGATTCAAGCTAAGGAAACAAAGGTGCCGACAAAATATTAGAACATTTTCTTTTGCAAACAGAGTGGTAGATGATTGGAACAGGTGAGAAGGTGGTGGAGGCCACAACCGTCAGTAGTTTCAAAGCATTATACGACAAAGAGTGCTAGGAAGACAGGACACCACGAGCGTAGCTCTCATCCTGTAACTACACTTAGGTAATTACATCCCCCTACCTCCAATGACACGATAAATATGGTCGAGTGCTCAGTGTGGCTGCCAGTGAGCAACACGGAGCGCAGGTTGTGGTATTACTTATCCGTTACGAAACCTATACATCTTTGACCTTATCATGGCAGCTTACTTTGCATTTATTGAACAGTTTATGAGATGGGACGCTTCACAACCCAAGGTTATTATTGTTATAGAGAACCTCCCAGCCCTTAGGAGCTCATAAGCTATTCAATAAAAGTGAACTTTGCTGCCATTATTGAGGGAAGACGTACTGGTTTCGTAAATTTAAATTCAAAATTCAAATTCAAATGTTTATTCAGGTAAAGTACATACATACAAGGTGTGATACAAATATTGTTGGATTTATAGATAGAGCTAGTACATACAATGCCTAAAGCCACTATTACGCATAGCGTTTTGGGCAGGAAAAACACTAGACTAAAACGTAATACTAATTGAGATTAAAGTATAAATTGTGTTGAGAAAATATAAAATTAAAAGGGGGGAACATGGCAGAAAAATAGCAAATATACAATTTGGTCGACAAACAGCATTGTTTAAAATACAGACAGTGGGTTGACATTAAGGGGTAAGGTAGGAAATAGATATGTAAATGCCTGATGAATCCTCAAACCACGGCTCTTAAGTTGACCAATCATACTGGTGTGGTAATCTGGCCAGCTATAGTTCACTAATCACCCAATTATATCCAATGGTTTCAATGACACTATGCCGACATAGTTATTAATTACCATCAAGAGAGCAGGTAATCGGGTGCTATTTTGCACGTTGTCAAACTCGTTACTTTAAATATTGAACAATTTTCCAATGTATTTCTGGTGTCGTTTATGATAATCTAACAAGTATTAAGTTGCGTGAACCAGAACTAAGTATACAGTGACTCTGATCAGTAAGTTGCTCATGTTTCATTGTCGTCTACTGAAGCTCTCTGTAAACAAAACAGCAGATACAACATATATATACACACAGAAATCACAATAGCGTGATGCATCAAATGAACAAATCCACAAGGGCTTGTGGATTTGAACTTCTAAGTCCAGTAGAACTTCCGTTGCAATTCTTTTACCATGTCATAGCTCAGTCGATTAAGGCAGCGTCTGGGATGTCCTCAGAAGTAGGTTCGAATCCTCATCACGGTCCTTGTGGATTTGTTCATATATATATATGTATGAATATACGTATAGGAATCTTTATTTTAGCATATATGAAGCTTGTTTTTGCCCTCTGTAGTTGTTTCTTCATATATTACACAGCCACCACGGGGTATGGAAATGTAAAAGATTCACCTATTACCTTTGCAGGTGGTGTTAGCTGGCTTGCTGTACCCAGGAGCCGCTGAGGTTGAGCCAGTGGTGAATGGCGTGGGGCTGGATGGGCCGTACCAGTTCCAGGTGACCCGCATTGACACCCGTCGACCGTTCCATCCCTCATTAACTAACAACTTTACAGCCAGACTGTGGGCGTACCTCTTTGTGCAGGTGACAGTATCAGTTCCCGCGTTAACTAGTTAAGGTGTTGTGTGAGGGAAAACTTTGTTCATTCTCTGTTATTGTGTTTTAACTGCTTCTTGATAGTTAAGTGTGTATTGATGATGAGATTAGACTTTGGTTGATGGTATTTAATAGCAAATAAATATATTTTACCCAAGTTTACTGTAGCGTCCATGTCGACAAGGTCAGGCATTTTCTTCCTCATAGAAGGACTCATTATTTTGTCAAATAATGTCTTAGATATGTATTTACAATAACTCTGGTCGCTTCAATAAATATGATTTTGTTTGAATGTTACAAATGATATGAGTGGGGCTTCTATGGGGTACTGGTACTATTAAGGGGTATAGGTAGTTAGAAGACAGGAGTATCAAATATGGGAGAGCTAAAAGGCCCGGCCCCCAAAATAAACTATCCACAGTAGTAATAACTTGCTACAAGACCAAATATGTTCGTCTAAGGGTTGATCACTGCGCTCCCACCTTGGAAGAAGAGATACTCTGTAATTCATGTACTTATTTATTAACCCGTTAACAACCCCCCATATACACTCACACCAATAACAATAATAATAATAACTTTACCACACTATCTTACGTTAAAAGCCTTGGTCCACGTAGGCAGGATACAAGGTTTACACTAATAACAAGCTAGGGTAAAGTACTACTGGATAAGCACTGAAGCTGGATGCAGCTTAGGGTAGTGAAACCACGTGGGACCCTAATACAAAACACAACACTTAGGGGTACCCAAACACTGGCAAAATACTATCCCCAGGTCTCCCCAATCGTTACTACCAGAGTAGGCACACTTACACCATATAATACTTAACTTAAGGGTACAGGAACTTCAGGTAAGGGAAATAAGTAAGAGGAGAAGGAAGGAGAGTAGGGATACAGCCACAGAGTAGGTCTTAACCTCACGCCACCAGCCAAGAGAAGAGCGAGCTCCTCGCGACCACCTGGCCTCCCTCATGTCGTGGTGCCGGAAGGAGCCTAATTGATCGTGCAGCTAAGCACATTAAAGATCTTCCCCTATGCAACGTATTGTTACTTTATGAATGATTAGAAAGTATTAGTAAGCAAAGTTGGTGCCTATGTTATTATTTAATAATCAACCCCCAGCTCAGTCTTTAAATGCTCTTTGAGAAACAATAATAGTCTTACGTCTGGCAGGGAAGATACAAACAATTTCCATTCGAAATGCGCCAACTGTACTACTTAGGAAGTTTAATAGCTCAATTTTGACCTCTGGTTTCCACTGGAGAACCCAGGGTCGTAACACTCCTCCCCCCTTCAGAGAAAAAAAAAAAAAATGTGACTACTAGAATAGTAGTCATATTTTTTTGTAAGAGTATACAGAGAACAAAAAGAAAAACATGACAAAAACAAAAAATCAATCAAAAGCAATTTCTCTGCAAAAAAAAAAAAAATACAAAGGAGTTCTCTGAAAGAAAAAAAAACATACACAACAAAAATAAAAGAACAGGGAAGTAAATAAATTGGACACGGAATATTTAATGTCACAGGAGAACCTAAAAAAAAATAACTAAAGCATGACAGTTGGTAAATGGCTTTCTGTGGCTCAGATGAATGTTATTCAGGCAACCGGGACAGAGCGTCGGCTATCACGTTGAGTCTGCCCGGTAGGTGGGTAATGGAAAGATTGAAGTCCTGTAGGTACAACGCCCACCTGAGGATGCGTTTATTCTTACCCTTCATCTGAGTCAGGAAGACTAGTGGGTTATGGTCCGTGTACACTTCCACTATATTACCTGTGAGGTAAACTTCGAACTTTTTACATGTTAACACTAGCGCCAACGCCTCTTTTTCTACCACTGAATAATTGCGTTGCGCCTTGTCGAATTTCACAGAGTAATAATATACTGGGTGTTCCACCTGATCATCCCCAGTTTGCAACAACACTGCACCAGCACCCGAGTCAGACGCGTCAACATGAATTTTAAACGGTCGGTCGAACCTTGGACTAGCAAGCACTGGGGCGGAAGCTAAGATCAATTTCAAATTTTTAAATGCCTCTGCACAGTCTGATGACCACTTAAATTTAACGGCTTTCCGCAACAAGTCTGTGAGAGGAGTGGCAACACTGGAAAAGTTCTGACAAAAACGTCGATAGTACGCACACATACCGATAAATCTTTGAACGTCCTTTTTAGACTTTAGTACTGGATACTCCAGAATGGCATTGATTTTATCTTGCCGAGGTAACACTTTTCCTTGGCCCACTTCATAACCGAGGTACGTCACTGTGCCTTGGCCAAAATGACACTTTTTAGCATTTAAGGTAAGATTTGCCCTTTTCAAGATGGCAAACAACTGGCGTAACCTAGCTATGTGGTCAGCCCAATTACTGTCAAACAGCACGATATCATCTAAATACGCCCGACAATTTGGCACCTTAGCGAGTAGAGAGTTCATGAGTCTCTGGAACGTGGCAGGGGCATTACGCAAGCCGAACGGTAACACTTGATACTCAAAAACACCCTCGGGTGTCACGAACGCAGTGAGCTGTTTAGCACGTTCAGTGAGTGGGATTTGATAATACCCCCTCGAGAGGTCGAATTTCGAAACGTACTTGGCATTTCCCAACTCGTCGATGCAGTCCTCGAGGAGGGGCAGCGGATAGGCATCCACAATGGTCACCTTGTTGAGCTGCCGATAGTCGGTGCATAATCGCCAGGAGCCGTCTGGTTTGGGGACCAAAAGGCAGGGCGAGCACCAAGAGCCCTGGCTCGGCCGGATGAGGCCGTGCTGGAGCAAGAAGTCGACCTCCTTCCGTACGATGGCCTTCTTTTCTGGACTCATCCGATAGGGTTGAAGGCGAATGGGAGTGTAGTCCGTCAATTCGACATCATGGCAAATGGCATCAGTCTGGGTCGGGACATCCCCGAACAGACTGGAGAATTCAGCAACCAACGACTGCACCTCTTCACGTTGGGCCATCTGCAAATGGGACAGTTCCTCCACAGCATTCACAGAACTAGAATTATTGAAAATGAGATTAGTTGGGTCCCCAGAACAATCATCCCCTCTCTCACTGGAAATGGAAACATTGGTTAGTGCAATGGGCCTGGGGCCCTGGAACTTCTTCAGTCGATTTACATGTATGAGCATTACCTGGTTACGTTTGTCAGAGTGCCTCACTTTGTACGTGAGGTCCCCAGTCTTTTCTGTCACAATGTAGGGGCCTTCGTACTTGTGGGACATAGTGTTCCCTAGTCGAGGCTTTAATACCAGGACAGGGTCGCCAGGCTGAAATACCCGTAACTTAGATTTAGCATCGTTACGTTCTTTCATCTTTTCTTGGGCCTTGCCAAGATACTTTAATGCAGCCGCCTTGCAGTCCTTGAGTCTCTGGTGGTGTTGCGCAAAGAAAGCCGAACCTTCGGATAACGTTACGTTCCCTAACAGATTCTCCTGTAACATTTGCAAGGGTCCACGAACTTTATGGCCAAAGACTAACTCAAAAGGAGAACAGCCCAGTGAACTTTGTAATCCCTCTCTAGCCGCAAACAAAACATACGGTAAATTCTCATCCCAGAAGGTGTGGGAACTCTCGCACGATGTCTTCAACATCTGCTTCAGAGTTAGATGGAAACGTTCAATTACCCCCTGACTCTGTGGATGGTATGGGCTGGAAACCTTATGAGTTATTCCATGTTCCTTACAAAATTGCTCGAAAACATCAGACTTAAAATTAGTACCATTGTCAGTTTGCACGACCCGAGGCAGTCCAAAAGTGGAAAAAAATTGCAACATACGAGCAACAACAGTTTTTGCTCGGATGTTCCTTACAGCAAAAGCCTCTGGGTAACGAGTAGTGATACACATCATCGTGATTAGGTAAATATTACCAGACTTAGTTCTAGGTAATGGTCCAACACAGTCCATTACCACATGAGAAAATGGTTCCTCTGGCACGACAATAGGCCTTAGAGGAGCTTTAGGTGGAGTCTGGTTTGGTTTCCCAACCAGTTGACAAACAATACACGCATTACAAAATTTTGCCACATCGCTTTTCAGCTTGGGCCAGAAAAAATACTTTAAAATTTTGTGATACGTAATATTAATACCTTGATGTCCCCCCATAGGATCATCATGAGCAGCTGCCAAAACTCTTTCTCTATAGCAGGTCGGCAACATAACCTGGTGGACTACCTCCCACTCATTTGACAAGGGAGCACTCTGTGGTCTCCATTTTCTCATCAAAATCCGATCATTGTAGTAGTACCCAGTTGCTGCGTCTACAATTTCCTCCATAGAGACGGCTGTTTCATGACAATCTGCAAGAGTGGGGTCAGCTTTCTGTAACTCACTCAAGGAGGCATCTAGGCCTTGGTCAGATGCCATTGGCCGAGGCTCAACAGTGTTCTCCACCTCCCCACTACTCTCGGTAGATGGCGGTGGCAGGCTCTCCACAATGTCCTCGGCCACGTCATCGAGTCGGGCCATGAATGTGTCCGCGAGGTCCACTTGGTTTTCACCACTCGGAAAGCTCCTCGTGACCTCGGGATTTACCACCTTGGCAAGCACAGGGCTGCCCTTACATTTAAGTCCCATAGACCTGGTCACCGCGCACGCAGGGTACACAACATTATCCTCTGCGGCGGGTGGATCCAGGCAAACCTTAGGGGTAGGCAACATAATAGGCAGTCTGGAGTCCCCTACCTTATCCCCTGCTAAATCATTACCAACTATTACATCAACATTAGGGAAAGGTAGGTATGAAGTGACTCCGACTGTACAAACACCCTTGTGGAAATCAGATTCCAGGGTAACCTTATGGAGGGGTACTGCCCGAGTATCACTAGTGACACCCTCGACCAGTACCACCTCTCCAGTGTCGAGAGTGTTGGCACCTTGCAACGCACTCTCTAAAATTAAAGTCTGGATGGCACCGGTGTCTCGGAAGATCACCACGTCCTTCCAGGAAGAACCCTCAGACAAAAGTAGTCTCCCTTTCGATAAGAATGGGGTAAGCAAGTCCAACCACTGTGGGTTGGAGGTCTTACTCCCTAACCCTTCTGAAAGCCTCAAGCCCTGTGTCACAACTAGAGCATTGGGTCTTTTTTCAGGGTGCAGTTGCCAACAACGGCTAATAGTGTGGTTTGGACGATTACAGTGACCACAAAAACGTCGGGGAGAAGAGACATTACTAACAGAATTACCCTTCGGTTCACCTTTAGGTGCCGTTGGGCTAGACACTTTAACAGGGTTAGTTATGTCTGAAACAGAAGGTGCATTAGGTAAAGGGTTAGAATGAGCTGGTCTGGACTGGCTGTGGGTATAAGGTTTGCTACTCTGTGGGGTATAATTATTTTTATTGGGCCTTTTGCCCGCCAATTGGTAGTTTTCTGCCAACTTGGCCAAATCCCCTATTTTAGAATTTAACTCTATCCTTCCTTTAATGTATTGTGATACGTTCTCTGGCATAACATCTATAAAATGCTCCATTAAAATTAAGTTCCTGAGAGCCTCGTATGTTTCGGCTTTCGCCGAGCGAATCCATCTATCAAACAATCGAATTTGATCATTCACAAATTCAGTGAGCGGTTGGTTGTGAGTAGGCCTAAGGTTACGATAAACTTGGCGGTGAGCTTCAGGAGTAATTTCATATGCCCGCAAAATACATTCCCTGACTTTATCATATTCGAAACACTCGTCGTCAGGCATGTTTATAAAAATATCTTGTGCTTTACCCCTAAGTCTTCCCTGTAGGATTTTCACCCACTCTTCCTTTGGCCAGTTCATGGACGTGGCCACTCTCTGAAAATGGTTGAAAAACCTTTCAGGGTCAGACTCGGAAAATTCAGGCAAATTATGCTTTTTCTCATAATGCCTGGGGTTTGAATCCCCGGCAGGTGGAGGTCCAGTGGCATTCGCTCTAATTCTAGCCTCCTCGGTTTTGAGTTTTTGCTCCTCTAATTTTATTTTTGCTAACTCTAAAGCTAATTCACTTTCCCTATGAGTTGCACTTTCTGCTTGGCTAGGCTGGCATAAAGGTGTATCACTTGCCAATAGTTGTTCATCAATACAATGTTGTAATATTTCATTCACCAAAGTCCACTTTTTATCTGCGACATTTAATTCTAGGCCAAATTCCTGGCCTAACAATACTAAATTAGACTTTTTAAGTTTCTTTATCTCTACCACTGAAGGCTCCCTTGCCAGTTTCTGCATTTCAGAAGACATCACTAATAATTTTAGCTCCCAGCCAAAGAAAAAATTAAAAAATAAAAATTGGAAAAAAAACAAAAATTTGCACGGCCCCTAACACAAGGCCACACTAACCTTAATCGTGAAGGGATCCAGCTGGGTGTCCAGTCAGTGCAAGAATGTCCTTTGCTAGATGAGCTGGACCCTAGGCTAGCACACAACCGTTCTGCGGAAATAAAAAATTTTAATTTTGGCACTCAAGAATCTAATTTTTTACACTTATAATGTTCCTCCCGGACTGGCCAACCACTTGTTACAACTGATATGAGTGGGGCTTCTATGGGGTACTGGTACTATTAAGGGGTATAGGTAGTTAGAAGACAGGAGTATCAAATATGGGAGAGCTAAAAGGCCCGGCCCCCAAAATAAACTATCCACAGTAGTAATAACTTGCTACAAGACCAAATATGTTCGTCTAAGGGTTGATCACTGCGCTCCCACCTTGGAAGAAGAGATACTCTGTAATTCATGTACTTATTTATTAACCCGTTAACAACCCCCCATATACACTCACACCAATAACAATAATAATAATAACTTTACCACACTATCTTACGTTAAAAGCCTTGGTCCACGTAGGCAGGATACAAGGTTTACACTAATAACAAGCTAGGGTAAAGTACTACTGGATAAGCACTGAAGCTGGATGCAGCTTAGGGTAGTGAAACCACGTGGGACCCTAATACAAAACACAACACTTAGGGGTACCCAAACACTGGCAAAATACTATCCCCAGGTCTCCCCAATCGTTACTACCAGAGTAGGCACACTTACACCATATAATACTTAACTTAAGGGTACAGGAACTTCAGGTAAGGGAAATAAGTAAGAGGAGAAGGAAGGAGAGTAGGGATACAGCCACAGAGTAGGTCTTAACCTCACGCCACCAGCCAAGAGAAGAGCGAGCTCCTCGCGACCACCTGGCCTCCCTCATGTCGTGGTGCCGGAAGGAGCCTAATTGATCGTGCAGCTAAGCACATTAAAGATCTTCCCCTATGCAACGTATTGTTACTTTATGAATGATTAGAAAGTATTAGTAAGCAAAGTTGGTGCCTATGTTATTATTTAATAATCAACCCCCAGCTCAGTCTTTAAATGCTCTTTGAGAAACAATAATAGTCTTACGTCTGGCAGGGAAGATACAAACAATTTCCATTCGAAATGCGCCAACTGTACTACTTAGGAAGTTTAATAGCTCAATTTTGACCTCTGGTTTCCACTGGAGAACCCAGGGTCGTAACAGGCAACAGGATGCTGCTTCTGAAAACTTTCCTTATTAAGACTACTCATAGCCCAGTCGATAGAGCTTCAGTCTCACACGCATGGGGTTCACGATTTGAGACTCCAACAGCCCAAGTGAATGGAATGTTTACTCCCACAGAAGTGTGGATGACAATTTATATCCTTATAATATGATTCTGTATCCCATCCCCCTACTCTTTTTGTCCAAATTTTTCAATCTTCCTAATTATTTTGTGCAATTGGTAAGCCTCTGTACTAACTTTACTTCCCTGCACGGAACATCACAGGATCTGGTAACTCCCAGGAGACCACCTTTTGAGAACACTGACACAGGAGTGTTCATTGGGGGTTTCTCTTGTCTCATTTTTAGCATTTTTTTTTTATTTATATATACAAGAGTTCTTATTTTCTTGTACAGCCACTAGTATGTGTAGAGTTTTGGGCAAGTCCTTAATCCTATGTTCCCTGGAATACGACCCCCGTGAACTGTTTTTACAACCAAGTACCCATTTTACTGTTGAGTTAAACAGAGGCTACAGTTAAGGATTTCCACCCAGTAAATCCTCCCTGGTCAGGGTATGAACCCCAGGACAAAGCGCTCGCGAAACGCCAGGCGAGCATCTTAACCACTATGCCATGGAGACTGGTGGCATAGTGTAATAAACTGTAATAAATTAATATTCATCTTTCTCAGTTGTCTATTTTACTCTGGTTTATTGATATTAATATACAGCTTGAGTGTTGGTGTTGCATGTATGGTGTCATATTTGGGGGCAGGTTGGAGTAATCAGTGTTTCATCAACAGGACCTGCTGGCCAGAGCTGAGGCGTCGGAGAACTTCAATCATACCCGTGAGCTCCATGCCCAGGCCTTACACATAGCTCTGAGGGTAAGTCTTTGCTAATGTATTTCTTTTCCTGTCTGTTCTTTTCATCCTTATCCCTCATGGGATATATTTTTTCTTTATTCCTCAGTTGTTCCAATCCTGGATGATTGGAACCTGTTATGAAGTACCATTATCCATATAATCATAGATATTATTTCTTCCACATTTTACTACTATTTTAAGAAAATACTTGTTTTCTCCACAAATATTCAAAAGGTGACACACTAGGAACTCACAATAGGGTGACATATCTTTGTGAAAATCATATTACTTTTAGCATATCGTATTCCAGTGTGTTAAGACGTGCATCTGGGGTGACCCATGATGCTGGTTCGATCCCCGTCCTGCTCCAATGATTTATTCATAAGTGATCATTGACGTATGTACATGTCTACCATCAGATCCGGCTTGACTCCCAACGTTCATCCTCTCTCCATCCACCTCCAGCATGTCTCTGACCATTTCTAATCTTCCGTCAGCTCCAGCTTGGCCTCCACCATTCCTTCCTTCTATTCCATTAAGTTCCACCTTGATTTCTACCATTTCTTTTTTCATCCAGCTACCAATTGACTCCCTAATATTAATGTCTTTCCCATCAGCTCAAGCTTGGCTCTCGGTACAGCATTCCTATTCTTCCAATCATCTTTAGCTTGGCTCTTATTTTAAATTATTTTCTATCCAGCTTGGTTCACACCATTCTGTGGTTTCCATGTAGGCACAACTTGAGTTCCACCTTTTAAGGATATAGTACTCTATGATTGCATTTTCCTTGACCCTTGAATGCCCAGTGTAATGCTCTACTCTTCCGTGTACACAATTCTGCCACAATCTTTACATGGAAATAGCTTTTGTGCTCAGCATATACAATTTTCCTTGGAACATCAGTAGCACTGGCAGCCATTACTTAGATTTTCATTTATGCTTTGTGAGTGTTTTTTATGTCACCACATTGCTTGTATCCTAGCCTTCTAGTTCCCTCTGACCGTGGCCAGAATTATATTCCTTATACCCCATAAGATTGAGGGTCCGATGGGTTCAGTGCTTCTTCCTCTATAAGCTGACTCCTCTTGAGTCACTTCGCTGCAGGGCAGTGCATAAAACTTGTTCTTCCCTGTTGATGGGAGAGACAAGCTTTGGTCTGTGCCATGCATGTAAAAGACCTGCAGATAGTGATGATTGCTCTGTTCGCCGGCAGGCTTCCCGTAAGGGGGTCGGCCCTTTCGCGGTTCAAGGGACCTTTCGTGCTCGGACCTTCTCCTGTTGCGTGTTGGGCCTTGCATTTAACCGAGGACAATTTTTCATGGCTCCCTCACTTGCTGAGTGGCCTAGGTCAGGGTTCGATTAATGTCCGCTTTACCGAGATGCTTTTTTCCTGTGTTCAGCACGCCTGCCTATCTATGTGATGGTCCAGGTAACCAGTATTCCTTGTACCTGTAGGGGTTTCATTGTCTTAAACGTGGTAGCAGTAGTGTTGATATGGCTTTCCTATCTCATTTCGTTCCTGACTCTAATATGCAGTTTTTCAGGATATTCTTTGGTGCCTTTGTACCCCAGTAGCCATCCCTATTGTTCCTGTCATTTGTCTTGCTGGGCTCAAGTGTCCTTTCATCCGAATTTATTTACCATTTGCCAGCACTGGATTTCAGTTATGACCGAGCTGCCTTCTCGGGTGACTGTCTATTGGGATGTGGCCGCTTTGCAAAACCAGACTCTATGATGTAGGCTTTCACAGCCTCTGGTGCGATGGCATGTGTGACGATCTATGGTCGATTCGGTTGGCTTAGGTTTGTTTAGACTCTCAGTATCCTCAGCTTTATATTGTGAATCATTTGGCACCGATGGCTGTGGGGGATGAAGGAAGCAGAACCAGGAGGCTACCCCCTATTGTAATGTAATGATGACATAGAGGCCTACTTATCTTGATTCCTTTATCTTTCATGATGGGCATGTAGGTAAGGCTTTCTCAGGGGGTTCCCACTGTTGAGGCTCTGGGCTCTGGAGGGAATGCAGGCTGCCTTCATAGGCTCCCTTCTCTGTGGAAAAAATCACAGGATTTTGGGGTTGCTGGAGGACGGTTTATACTTGCCATAATTCTGATGCTCATTACAGTTTCATTCCTTGACGTAAGGGTTTCTTGCTACGTAGTCTCTTATTCCTTCACCCAGTAAAAGCTCGATGTCTCTTCTACTTCCCTGAAGCTAGATTTCCCAGGTCCTGGTGTGTGGCCTGATACACTACTACCGAGGAGGTTTTCCTTCCAGTGTTGTTCGATGGGACTTACCTCGGTTATTCAGTTTTTCTCCTGGGGCCCCGTTTGCTACCCAGTTCTCTACTTTTTTTTTTTTTTTTTTTTTTTTTTTTTTTCTTTTTTTTTTTTTGAGATATATACAAGAGTTGTTACATTCATGTACAGCCACTAGTACGCGTAGCGTTTCGGGCAGGTCCCTGGAATACGATCCCCTGCCGTGAAGAATCGTTTTTTCATCCAAGTACACATTTTACTGTTGCGTTAAACAGAGGCTACAGTTAAGGAATTGCGCCCAGTAAATCCTCCCCGGCCAGGATACGAACCCATGACATAGCGCTCGCGGAACGCCAGGCGAGTGTCTTACCACTACACCACGGAGACTGTAAAACCCCGCAACTGGGTAGCAAACGGGGCCCCAGGAGAAAAACTGAATAACCGAGGTAAGTCCCATCGAACAACACTGGAAGGAAAACCTCCTCAGTAGTAGTGTATCAGGCCACACACCAGGAGACTGTTCTCTTTCAAGAGGTTTGGCTGGTTTGGTGTTATCATGTGCATCCTTTCTGCTGCCCACTCAGGTGTCATGGTAGTGGCCTTCAACTTTAGTTTCTTCCTCTGGCTGGTCTGGTACCTGCACATCCAGGTTCGGTGGTCAGCGGGGCTCGTTTTGCCATGGCCATTAATGGTTTTGCCCTAGTGCCCAGCAAGGTGGGGGGGTTATCAGTACACTTTTAGACCTGCCTGGTACAGTGTTGTCTGACAGTTTTGGATAATGTCTCTGGGTTTTCAGCAGTTTTGGTCCTTTTCCCAAAAAGTAATTTTAGTCTAAAGACAGAGTGTTCGTTTCTTTTTTGTCCTCTCGGTTCTCGCTGCCCCTTCGGTTCACTTTCTTTTTTCGGTGTGGGTGATCTTAAACCCCCCATCCCCCCCCTGCTCCCTATATAATAGGGAGCAGGGGGGGGGTTTATAGAATGGGACCTATATAATGGGGCCAGGTTCTGGTCTCTAGTAAGCCATTTAAGGACTCCTAGGGCTGATGTGACACATGCTGAGCTATCTCAGTATGGCTAGCTACAGGAAGCCTTGGGGCCTCCCACATTTCATTACTTTCGACGTGTTCTTCCTGAGTAAAGTGTATTTATTTACAGACTACAGTATCCACTCAATTTAACGGCCTATATGGGGCTGTACCCTGGTCGTTATTTCTAGAGCTCCGTTATTTCCGAAGTTAAGTCGGGTCGGGTAATTTTTCAAGTAACATTCAGGTAGGATATATTTTATACTGTATAACTAAAATTAAATAAAATTCATTGTGTAATTGCGTTCCAATTTGGTGCCACGCCAACGATTAAGCCAGCTGGTGGCTGCTGCATGGATAATGTTTGAACACGGTCTGATCAAGTCCAGATGGGTGGGAAAAAATTGGTTCTTTCCTGTGTATTGCAATATATTTCACGTATCAATCAGTGATTTTTAATATTTTCTCAATAAAATTTTAGAGATGTGTTTTTTTTTACCCTGAACAATGCAGGTAATGTATTTTTAATGTTATGACACAGGCTGTGGCGGCCAGGCAATAACAATGGCGATCGCGCCTTGTCACCGAGAGCTAGCCAAGACGAAATATTTTGAGCTCACGGTTTCTCTGCTAATGATAGAATATACATTTGCAGAGATTAATATGTAACTTTTGTTGAAAAAACAATATGTTGAAATACTATAATAAAATTGGTGAACTGACTTACTTTTAATGAAGCTGAAGATTACGGAGCTGTGAAGCTGTGAAGATTACGTCATCCTCTGCAGCGCTTGTTTTATATTCTTCAGTACTATATACAGGGTACATACAGTATGAACACTTATTTTCAGGCATTCACTTCACACAACAGCTAGCCTTACTACTAATTCACATGAGTTCTAATTCTAATTCACAATTGAAAATTGTTTCTACTGTATATTTACACTGTACAGTACAGTATCTTTTGTCAAGGCTTAAATAATCATTAACACTTACAATACTGTACTCTATCAACACTTTTTACACTAATTTATATGCTTTTCAATCATATTTTATATCGTTAGTGGAGGCTACACGACTTTTGATGGGAATTCAGCATCAGCGGGTGCAACATGACTTGCAGAGCATTCGTTGCTGGCGGATGCTCCATGACTTGTCGATGGGAATTCAGCATCGGCAGGTGCAGCATATCTTGCAGAGCATTCGTTGCCGGCGGAGGCTGCACAACTTATCGATGGGAATTCAGCATTGGCGGGTGCAGCATAGCTTGCAGAGCATTCGTTGCCAGCGGAGGCTACGCGACTTGTTGATGGGAATTCAGCATCGGCGGGTGCAGCATAGCTTGCAGAGCATTCGTGGCCGGCGGAGGCTGCACAATTTGTTGATGAGAATTCAGCATCGGTGGGTGCAGCATAGCTTGCAGAGCATTCGTTGCCAGCGGATGCTGCATGACTTTTTGAATTCCCAGTGGGTGCTTTCACGAACCGTTGAAATCATGAATTTATCTATTTTTGTCTGAATTTGATTTTCTCTGGCTAATATTCTGAGACATTGCTCTCAGCCGTGCGAGTTAACAGTAAACAATGCGGTCACATGGCCAGGGGCAGTACGTTCTAGGTCCGTGGGAAAAAAAATACCTTTTATAGTACTGTATAGGCAATAGGCATTTAATATGAAAACAAAGAATTTTGTTTAATAACAATTGTTTTAAAATATTTTATTAATAATAATTTAGAATTTTCTTCATAAAACTGAATCATTTTAAAAGAAAGTTAAGATTTAATATACCACTCTGGATGATCGCCTGGTTGCCATTTGAGGGGCTGCCGATGCCATAACAAACCCAGTACCGACCATCGGTAATATCGACCACCAGACCGGTATATGAGGCTCCAGATACCGATCTCCCAAACCGGTCGTTAATACCGGCAGATCGGTATAAAAGAGGTCGTTAAATTGAGTGGATACTGTAGTTGCAACTACGAAATTTCAAAATTTCATGATTCCTATATGAAGGCAATACTACTAGGGCAATATGATGAGCTCCTTAAGTCAATATTCAGGAAAGCGCTCAACTAGATTTTGATGACATTAGGACCAAGCAACACTACTAGTGAGGTTTTGAAGAAAAGGCATACGAAAGGCAACTGAGGTAGCACTTACAGCATTCTTATCCTCGTGTACAGCAGCCAACAAATTAGTAGGGCAGATCCTACTGGAACGTATGAGAAACACAGCTGGAACTCATGGTCAAATATTCATCGAAGCAGCCAGTCAATGGGAAACCATTGCTTATCCTTTACCCCGACCACAAGCCCCAAAACCACAAGCAGGCCTACTGGGATAGCCCCATAATGGAAAAAGACTGCCACAAAAATGCTTGAAAACGCAGATGCTGAAAACAAAGCCCACCTCCTAGCAGTAATAGCACCCCATACCGGGGATTTTGTATTTGCTGTACCCAATCCAGTCCTGGGAACTCGCCTCAATTATGATTCTCTCCGCATTGGAGTTGCCCTTCGCCTTGCTGCCCCCATCCTCACCAAATATAGGTGCATCTGCGGAATTGCAATCGCAGACCAATATGGTTGTCATAGTCTGGTATGTCGTAAATCACAGGGTAAGATTGCAAGACATGAGGAAGTCAACGACATCATCAAGAGGAGCCTCGCCACAGCTCACTGCCCAGCACAAAGAGAACCACACTTATTCAGGCCCAACGAACCTCTGAAGCACCTTGACGGGGTCACCTTGCTTCCTTGGAAGGATGGTAAATAAGTAGTGTGCAACTACACATGTACTTCCACACTGGCCAGTACCTACCTCTACCACAGCACACGTGAAATGGGCGGCGCTGCTACTTTCAGGAAAACGCAGAAAGCCATCAAATACAGAGGTCTGGCACACTGCTACAGCTTTGTTCCAATCGGTTCAGAAACCCTCGGTTCATGGGGGAAAATGTGCATTTAAGTTCCAGAAGGAATTGAGTGACAAATTGATCGGCGCTACAAAAGACCAGAGAGCGAAAAGTTTCTTGTTCCAGCTCCTCAATGTCGCAATTCAGAGGGGAAATGCCCGTTAAATCTTGAGCACGAGTCTAACTTCAGAGGAATTCGAAGAAGTGTTTGACTTGCAACAATGATCGAATCTGTCCATAACATTTAATAATGTTTCTCTTTAGCATGTTTGGTAAAATACTAGGCCCAAGATTACCATCAGAGTGCCGGCGGGCTGATGGGGAAATAGCCTTGGCTACCATCAGCTTTTGTCCGGTCGTGATGGTCGAGTGGATAAGGTGCCCTGTACACCAGTTGCATAGTGCTCCTGGCAGTATGGGTTCGAGTCACTTCTGGGGTGTGAGTTTTCAGTTGCATGTATGCCTGGGGACCATTCTGGCTTGTGTGTGTGTGTGTATGTATGTATGTATGTATAATATATATAATATATATAATATATATAATATATATAATATATATATATATATATATATATATATATATATATATATATATATATATATATATATATATATATATATATATATATATATATATATATATATATATATGCCTCTGAAAACTCACACCCCAGAAGTGACTCGAACCCATACTCCCAGAAGCAACGCAACTGGTATGTACAAGACGCCTTAATCCACTTGACCATCACGACCGGACATAATGAGGTGATAGCCGAGGCTATTTGAACCACCCCACCGCCGGCACTCGGATAGTAATCTTGGGCATAGCATTTTACCAAATCACCTCATTCTTTGGGGCACACGTGAAGAACACAAATAAGTTTTCAGTTGTGAGTTTTCAGTTGCATATTGTCCTGGGGACCATTCAGGCTTGTTCGCATTTGTGTTCCTCATATATATATATATATATATATATATATATATATATATATATATATATATATATATATATATATATATATATATATATATATATATATATATATATATATATATATATATATATATATATATATATATATATATATAATATAATATAATATAATATTGATTGTATAATAAATATATAATAGTATATTTTGGTAGCAGTCTTTCTTGTAAACATATGTTGTTGAATATGACTGAAAGGGTAAGATTAATGATTCTAACACGAATCTTCTCAATATTTCTTACGTTTTTCTTCACTGTTGGGGTTAATTGAAAAATTAACTCTTAACTCTCTAAGATGTGTGCCAGTTGCCAACATTGGGATTGCTAACAGGAATTCCCCAATATGTTGGCCTGCTACGTACTGCTGTGAGGCGAGCAATGTCATGTGTTGTTGCATATATGACAGTGTCTAACCACAAAAAAGGGATTGAAACAGGAATTAACTGAAATACTTTCGTATTTAATAGTACATCTTCAGAAGGATGGATTTACAAGTTAGTAGATTGGATATATAGGCAGGAGAGAGGTGAAGTGAAATGAGGTACAATGACATATATATATGAATGGGATTGGGTGGATATAAATAGGAGCTGCATCGTATGGGCCAATAGGCCCATACATGGATATTAATATCATAATATAGTGGATATTAACAAGGTATTAGTGAGACAAATGTGTATCAATGATCCTACTCAAATTGCTCTTTAACTGATCGATCAAAAATGTATCTAAATTATACAACCCACTGCTAATGTTCAAATTACATGATTTTGTAATCTGTATTAAAGCAGATTCAATTATGTTCCTATTGAAAGTACTTTTACAATTCATTATTGAACACGTCATCTCCCAATAAATTTGGTGAGAATTTTCTCACGAATGAACAAAGACCATTAGACATGCTTTGTTTGTTCATTATTATGTTTGTTCACATTATTTAAAAATTAAAGGCATACAATACATCACTATATATTTCAGTTCGGTTTTGTAACCAAACTAACGTCCTTGGTGGTGGTCTACCCAGATGATGAGTACATCGTAGTCTCCCCTCAAGACCAGCGCCATCACCACAGCAACGGCCATCCCTCTAGCTATTATCAGTCGTCTATTTCAAGTTATCGACGAACTGGTAGAAGCAATATACGTGGTAATAGACCTCAAGAACAGGGTTAGTAATATAGATAAAGAAACCAGCGTTGAATGTAATGAAACGCCATTTCCTGGGTGAGCCCCGGAGGCTTCCCTGGAGCTATCAGGCTAATATGTGATATATTAGACCGGAGCACAGTCTATGGAGTTAAGCCTACCAGGGACCATGAGCCCATTCAGAGAGGTGCCGGGAGTAATGGCCCTGGAAAACACCCATGTGGTTAGGGGGTTTTCCTTATCTGCCATCAACCAGGGTTAGGCACCCAGAAAGGTAGGCATAACAAAACAAATTCCACACGGTAAGAAAATGACAACGAAAACCGAAGAGAGGAATAACTCCCTCCTATCACAAGGATACATGCAAACATTACACTCCACTGTCGCGTAGCTTGCCTGTGCAGCTCTCCCATCCTCGAGAGGGGGAGGGGGAGCCCCGGACACCCCTGCACCAGCTACCTAAAACTCCAGTTCAGAAGCTAAGCATCAAACAATGCGAAAAACTGCTGACTGGAGGGAGGGAGACTAGCCAAGGAGCCTCCGGGGCTCACCCAGAAAATAGCGTTTCATTACATTCAATGCTGGTTTTCCGTGGGGGAACCCCTACAGCTCCCAGGAGCTACATAACCAAAGATGAGAAAAAGAGGGTCTTACCCGGGAGGAGGCCTCCACACTCCTCCACACTCCCCACACTTTCCGTGGGGGAACCCCTACAGCTCCCAGGAGCTACATAACCAAAGATGAGAAAAAGAGGGTCTTACCCGGGAGGAGGCCTCCACACTCCTCAACGCGAATCCGAGACAACTGGCTGCATCCTGTGACCCAGAGCAACACAGGAATGCCCAGGAGCAGGAACATTAACCAAATAGCGGGTAGCCAGGACCTTGTTCTGCCTCCAAAATACCCGTGCTCAAATATCAGCCCAGGTCATGTTGCCAAAAACGGCAGCCAATTCAGCAAACTTCTTAACATCATGGGCACGAGGATAGACCACAGGCTGGCTAGACTTAATAACCTTGCGGAAACCTGGGAGACAGGAGCCCTGAAACAGTGAATGAGGGAAACTGGATCAACCCAAAGCGCATCCCCAGCCACCGAAGCCGAAGTTTGCAGATAATGGTGAAGAGCCACAACTGGACACAACACATGATGCACCCCTGGCCTGACCAACCAAGCATCAATGAGCCAAGGACCCCTCTGGAAAGCAGCTATCTCGTTCTTCGCCAGAGGAGAAGGCTGCAACCGAACAAACCGACCACCAGGACCGAAAGAGCAGAAACACTGCACTGGAGGAGAGCATGAAGCTCACCGACCCAACCCCCAGTGGCCGATGCCAACAGAAACAGAGCCTTGGAAAAACAATCTTGAACCGAAGGGGCCACCACAAACCCAGGAGAGGAAAGATAGGAGAGCATCCTGTCCAAGGACCAGGACGGCTTGGGCAGTGCATAAACAAGCCGGAAGTGAAACAAAGCATGAGAAAGCTTACAGAATCGAACAGAAGTGACACCTACCCCGAATGCAAGCTGGAGCGGCTCCGCCAGCTCCACACAATACGAGGCACCAGTAATAGGCATCAAATGACGGTCCTGAAAAAGCCAAGACAGAAAGGACAAGACAACCCGATCAGAAATTGAAGATGATTTACGAAGAGGGAGAAAATTGCGGAAAGAACACCAGGAAACTTCATACCATCGCCGAGATGAAACTCTCAGGTGGGACACCATCGACAAAGTCACCATACAAATACCATACAAATACACCATACAAACCCGTGGGTGATAAACCCGCGTCAAAAAGACCAGAGAAGACCAAACCAGCCATGTACCATGTACTCTTCCAACCTGCTGTTCGAGGCAGAGCCATGGAAAATGCCTCCGGGTTCACACACAGAGCAAGCAGTGCCTGGAACAAAAGCTGGGTCGGCCACCAAGGGGCTACTCTCTTTGTAGGACTCCAATAGAGCCAGAAACCGAAGCAACAGCTGGACCGGGAGGGAAAGGTACAGGTAACCCCAACTTGACCAGTCCTGCCAAAAGGTGTCCACCATGACAGCCTCGCAGGAGTCTGGTCACGAAGCTCCAGCCGAGAGGCGACGTGTCTGAGAACACATCGAGCGAGGGCTTGGGTAGGTGCCAAGACACTAAACCCCGAAAACAACGAATAGGAAGCTGGCGATGCAGCAACTGACGCAAGGCCCCCAGAGTACAACCCAGTGATTGTGAGAGAAGTGAATGGGGCGTCTCCAAAGGAACCACAACAGACACCAAAGTCAAACTCGACCCAGCGGGAAGACCAGCATGGCGAAGTTCAAACTCCTGCACAACTGCTTGAGCAACCGCCGAGCAACCCAGACCCCCCCTCCAGAAACAGCCAAAGGCAGGACCACAGCCTCTGCAATGCCTCCGGAGGGAGAGACATGGAAGCGATCCGAGAGTCCCAAACAAAACCCAGCCACGTCCGAACCTTGGACGGAACCAGATGGGACTAACCCATTTCACCAGGAACCCGAACCCGGTGAGCCGGGAAAGAACCACACCCCTGGCGAGCAGACAAGCGGACGGACTGGGAGCCCACACCTGCAAGTCATTGAGGTAGGCCAGGACCCGAACCTCTAGCAGAAACAAACGGATCACCACGACCTGGATAAGGTGCGTGAATATGCGAGGTGACGCTCAAGCCAAAAGGAAGGCAATGAAAGTGATATGCCTGATGCCCCACCATGAAACCTAACCAGTCCCTAAACCCCCACCGTTGTATAGGAATGTGCCAATACTCATACCTAAAGTCCAGGGATACCATCCAGGCCCCCGGCTTTAAACAAAACTGGACCTGAGACAGAGTGGTCATCTGAAAGAAGGGGCAAGGAGTCCAGGGGTTCAGACAGGACAAGTCCAGAATGTACCTCAGTTGCGTTTCGGCACTGGAATTCCACCTGAGGAACGGGATTGTTTCAACCACGCTCAAGCGCACCCACTCTAAGAAGATAACATGATGAAGAGAAAGAAGCCTGCCCCGAACCCTGTAATGGGGGAAGGAGCCATCCAACGCCACCACAGGCCAGATGACACCACCGAAAATGCCCACCAATCATGGGATCAAGCGCGAGCAAACAGAGCAAGCCTTCCCCCCCTCCATCTCCCTGTCAATGGTGGGAACTGCAAAAAGGCTGACGCCTTTTACGAGAAGCCAGTCAACGAACAGAGCGATCATCGTGCCGACCGGATGATGCTGGCTCCAAAGGCAACATCGGCTCAGAAGCTGGCACCAATGGTCCACTTTGACCAGTGGAATTCCAAGCCCTGGCACGACCCTTCCGAGAAGGCCAAGAACGGCCACCCCAGAGAACCAACAAGTCCGACATAGGATGGTAACTAGATGAAGCTGTCGGCAGATTCCGCAAACAGCAACGGACAAAACGGCAACGAAAACCTAAGAGCAGGGCCCAAGTGTATTCCGAAGTGAGGACGAGCACAGCCTGATGGCATCGAGACTAGAAGTAAAGAACAGTGACACCATCTCCTTGAGGATAGCGAACAGCTTCAACAGCGCGGCCAATGCCCCAACCGCCAATGACAGCACACCAGATGTCGTTTCCCAAGTCGTCCACAGGATTATTTGCTCCAACCAGCCTGCGGTCTATCCTCATGCCCATGATGTTCGTAAGTTTGCTGGGTTGGCTGCCGTCCTTAGTAATATGTCTTGGGCTGACATTCGGGCATGGGGTTTTTGGAGGTCGAACAGGGTCTTGGCCGCTCGCTACCTAGTCAATGTTCCTGGCCCTAGTCGGGCATGTGTTGCATTGGGTCGGTGGTTGTAGCCAGTTGTCTCGAGTTTGAGTTGAAGATCAAGTGCTGACTGTTTCCCTGGTCAGTCCCTCTTATTTTATCTCTGAATAAGTAGCTCTGGGGAGCTGAAGGGGCTCCCCCCAGAAAACTAGCAATGAATATAATGAAACGCCATTTTCTGGGCGAGACCCGGAGGCTCCCCAGCATCCCTTTTTCCCCCTTGTCGGCGGTTAAGCATTTTTTTTTTTTACATCCATTTTCTGAACTAGGGGTGGATAGCCAGCACAGGGAGTTTGGAGCTCCCCCTCCCTGGGAGGGGGGGGGGGGAGCTGCGCAGACAGTGGCGTAGTGACGGTTGTGTCGTCATGCTAGTTTGCTCGTTTTAGTTTAGGATGTTCTGTTCAACATTTCTGCTTTCAGTAGTAATTGTTTAACCAGAGAGGGTTTGTTTCAGGGCGCCTACCTTTCTGGGTGCCTGACCCGGTTGATGGCAGACATAGAATGCTTGCAACCACACAGGGGTTTCTATGGGCCATTGCTTCTCACGCCTCATCTGACGGGGACACCTTCTGGTCCCCGGTAGGCAGAACTCCATTCGCTTTGACTGATGCCACGGTCTAATACATTCATATCAGCCCAGATAGCTCCGGGGAGCCTCCGGGTCTCGCCCAGAAAATGGCGTTTCATTACATTCAATGCTGGTTTTTTTAAAGACTATTGTGCTCTTCAATCTCAACCATAAAAAGGCTCTCTAACACTTCATAAATTGTAGCTATTCACTTACTGTACTTATCCAATTAAATTACCCAACTCCATATATGTATCAAATAATATATTGACCTGTAATGTGTAAATCAAAATTTACGTTTCAAAGCAAATTAACACTGAGCCATCTTCCCCAGTTGACATGGACCCTTACTTCATCGTGTACGCTCAAGGCCTGGACTTGCCGCTCTGCTTCAACTACCACGGTCAAAATGGTGACATCATGAACCTCATCAGAGACCCCCAGTCTGGTGAGTATTTGTTATTTGCACCACTATTCAAAATATATGAACAAATACATGTTGCAAATGTATGTGTGTGCGCGCTCGCCTATTTGTGCTTGCGAGGGTTGAGCTTTGGCTCTTTGGTCCCGCCTCTCAACTGTCAATCAACTGGTGTACAGATTCCTGAGCCTATTGGGCTCCATCATATCTACATATGAAACTGTATATGGAGTCCGCCTCCACCACATCACTGCCTAATGCAGTTATTTGTGGACAGTGCTCTGACTCAGTTTTTGCAGGCGGCTTCATCTAGTTGCCGTCCTCTTTCGGATTTGTTGGTTCTCCAGGGTGGCCATTCTCGGGACTCCCAGAAGGGTCGTGCCAGGGATCGGGTTCTCCTGGTCGAGATGGGCCCTTTGTGCCAGTTTCTGCTCGCTCTTCTCGTCGGCCAATTTCTTGTGAGGGGCGTTGGCTCTTTCGCGGTGTGCCTCGTTGACTGGGTACTGGGAAAGGGGGGGATGCTAGCTCTGTTTGCCCGCGCTTGATCCCACGATTCGTGAACGTTTCTGGTCATGTCCTCCGGCCTGTGGTGGTGTTGGGCAATTCCTCCTTCGGGGGGTTCGGGGCAGGTTTATTCCCCTTCACTGCATCAGGTCATCTTGGAGTGGGTGCCCTTGGTTGTGGTCGAAATAACCTCGTCCCTCCGTTGGGTTTCTCATCCGTTTTGAGTCCTGAAACAGGACTGTGTGGATCTTCGGTTCATTCTGGACTTGTCACACGAGAGTAACCCCTGTCCACAAATGTGGTGATCTCACAGATGTTAACTACTACAGACCCATATCAATCCTGCCTAACTTGTCAAAAATATTTGAAAAACTAATCTACAAGCAGCTTTACTCTTATTTAGCCAAACACAATATACTTAGCTCTTTGTCAATATGGCTTCAGACCCAAAAAAAGCACTAACGATGCACTTATTAATATGATCACCTTGATTCATGCAGCTCTTGATAAAAATGAGTTCCCTGTTGGGTTATTTGTGGACCTGCGTAAGGCTTTTGACACTGTCAACCACCAAAACCTTCTTCTTAAATTAGATCATTATGGAGTCAAAGGACACTCCCTACAATACCTCAAATCCTACCTTACTGACAGGCTCCAGTATGTTTCTGTGAATAATTCAATTTCTCTCACCCTACCCATCAACATTGGTGTTCCTCAGGGCAGCATACTTGGCCCTCTCCTCTTTCTCATCTACATTAATGACCTTCCAAATGCCTCCCAACACCTCAAACCAATTCTATTTGCTGACGACACAACCTTCATTTACTCCAGTCCTGACCCCTTGCTCTAAATGCCACAGTAAATACTGAGCTAGAGAAAGTCCATCTTTGGCTAACTGCCAACAAACTCACCCTTAACATTGACAAAACTTTCTATATTCTGTTTGGCAATAAATCCTCTAAACAAATAAATCTCAAAATAAACAATATCCAAATTTGTAACAAATTAGATGGCAAATTCCTTGGCGTTCTCATTGACCGAAAGCTGAATTTCCAGGGACACATTCTAAATATATCAAAAAAAGTTTAAAAAACTGTTGGCATTCTTTCTAAGATCAGATGTACCTAAGATTATGTACCACGCCCTGCCCTGGTGACACTCTATTACTCCCTTATCTATCCATATCTCAGCTATGGTATTTGTGCTTGGGGCTCTACTACCCAAAATCACTTACGTCCTCTAATTACTCAACACAAAGCTGCTATTAGGACAATATCCAATTCTGGCCCCAGACACCACTCGGTACCCCTACTTAAATCTCTGAATATGTTAGACATTAAGTCACTGCACATTCTCTCATGTGTATTATACATATATAAAACGCTAAACTATAATGCCAATCCTGATCTCAAAAGCTTCATAGAAGGTTGTATCAGAACCCATGAGCATCACACCAGAAATAAATACAGTTTTGATATTCCTAGAGTACGACTTAATCAAACTAGAAATGCTCTACAAATCAAGGGGACCAGAATGTGGAATGACCTTCCCAACCATGTTAAAGACTGTACTTCTCTCAACCAGTTTAAGTTAAAAGCGAAGCTATACCTAATAAAGTCCCTGTAACCTACCTTACCCTTCTATTGTCAACCAATGTCTGTTTTTTTTCTTTAAAGAGCGCTGTTTGTCGACATAATTGTATTTGTGCTGCTTTTTCATCTATGTTTTCATTTCTTGTTTTCATTCTACTCATTATGCTCAATTAGTATTAAGCTTGTCATTTAAGTTTATCATGCCCGAAACGCTTTGCGTAATAGTGGCTTTAGGCATTGTATGTACTAGCTATACCTATAAGTTAACAATCCTTGTAAATATTTATTGTATGTATGTACCTTACCTAAATAAAATTGTATTGTATAAAATTGTATTGTATTGTATTGTATAGATATTATGTACCCCGCCCTGCCCTGGTGACTCTCTATTACTCCCTCATCTATCCATATCTCAACTATGGTATTTGTGCTTGTGGTTCTACTTCCCAAAATCATTTACGTCCTCTAATTACTCAACACAAAGCTGCTATTAGGACAATATCCCACTCTGGCCCCAGACATCACTCGGTACCCCTACTCAAATCTCTGAATATGTTAGATATTAAGTCACTGCACATTCTCTCATGTGTATTATACATATATAAAACACTGAACTGTAATGCCAATCCTGACCTCAAAAGTTTCATTGAAGGTTGTAACAGAACCCATGAGCACCACACCAGAAATACAGTTTTGATATTCCAAGAGTACGACTTAATCAAACTAGAAATGCTCTACAAATCAAGGGACCCAGAATGTGGAATGACCTTCCCAACCATGTTAAAGACTGTACCTCTCTCAACCAGTTTAAGATAAAAACGAAGCACTACCTAATAAATTCCCTGTAACCTACCTTACCCCTCTAATCTCAATCCATGTCTGTTTTTTTTTTTAAACAACGCTGTTTGTCGACCTAATTGTATTTGTGCTGCTTTTTCAGCCATGTTCCCCCGTTTTTTATCTCAATTTTTATTTGTTCTCAACACATTTTATTCTTTATACTCAATTAGTATTAAGATTTAGGCATTAATGTTTTTCATGCCCGAAACGCTTTGCATATTTAGTGGCTTTAGGCATTGTATGTACTAGCTCTATCTATAAATCCATCAATCTTTGTAAAATCTCTTGTATGTATGTACCTTACCTAAATAAACATTTATTTATTTATTTATTATTTATCTGAACTGCTGGATTCCTTTCATCTCCTTTTGGATGACCACTGTGTCCCCAGAAGCTGGACCATCCAGCTTCACTTGGAGCCAGGTTGTTGGATGTTGTCTCTGGACCTCCAGGACGTGCCAATACGCGTCCCAATTCATCTGGAGTTCAGGGACTGGTTAGGTTTGGTCATGGGGAAGCATGCTTACCACTTTCATTGCCTTCCTTTTGCCTTGAATCTGGCACCTCGCGTTTTTATGCGCCTTACCCGGGTCATGGTGGCCTGTCTGTGTCTACTAGGGGTTCGGGTGTTGGCCTACCTTGACGACTGGTTGGTGTGGGCTCCCAGCCGGTGTTCATGTCTGCTCGCTAGGGGTTTAGTTCTTAATCAGCTCGCAAGGTTTGGGTTTCTGGTGAACTGGAAGAAGTCTCATTTGGTTCCATCCCACGTTCATATCCCTGGCTGGGCCTTGTGTGAGATTCTCGGACTGCTTCCGTGTCTCTCCCTTTTGTGGCATTGCTGCGGCTGTGGTCCTGCCTTCACCTGTTTGGGGGGGGGGGGTCACTCGGTAGTTGTTCGAGCAGTTGTGCGGGAATCTGAACTTCGCCGGCACGGGGGTTTTGGAAGTCGAATATGCTCCTGGCTGCCCTGTATTTGGTGAATGTTCCTGGTCCCAGTCATTCCTGTGTTGCCATGGGTTGCAGGTTGCAGCCAGTTGTCTTGTCTTCGAGTTGAGGCACACGGTGTTGCTGCCTCCCAAATGAGTCCCTATTTTACTTATCTTTGGATATGTAGCTCCGAGGAACCAAAGGGACTCCCCAACAGAAAACCAGCATTGAATGTAATGAAACATCATTTTCTGGGTGAGCCCCAGAGGTGCTCTGGCACCCTCCCTTCTTTCAGTTGATGGTTTAGATTTTTGATGCTCGGCCTCCTAACTGAGGTGTGAGTAGCTGGTGCGAGAGTCCAAGGCTGCCCCTCCCGGGGAGGGAAGGGCTGTGCGGACAAGCAGTGTGGTGGCGGTGAATGACGTTTGTTTGTTTCCTTTTTCTTTCGGGGGAGTTCTGTTTCTCTGTTCGGTCTTGGGTTTTTTGCATTTTCCTACCACGTGGGATTTGTTTTGAGGTGTCTACCTCTTTGAGTGCATAACCCCGGTCGATGGCAGATGGAATACCCCCAAATACAAAGGGCTTTTCCTAGGGCCATTGCTTCCTGTGACTCTCTGAGGGGCCATGTTCTGGCTAGTGGTCCTCATTAGGTAGAACTCCATTGACTGAAGCCCCAGACTAATATAGCATATATCAGTCCGATAGCTCCAGGGAGCCTCTGGGGCTCACCCAGAAAATGGTATTTCACTACATTCAACGTTGAAGTTTTGTAAACATTAAACTTGAGAGATCTATTGTTTTTGTAAATCATGATGTCCATGAAGGGTAAAGCCCCATTTTCCTCATCCTTAATTGAAAATTTAAGTAAGGGGACTAGAGCATTGAGCTGATCAGTAAACACAAGAGGATCAGTATTGCAGGGCTATAAACACAAGAGGATCAGTATTACAGGGCTATAAACACAAGATATCATCCCCATGCCTATACCATACAGGAACAATAGATCTTTCAAGTTTAATGTTTTTAGAAAAGTTACTAAATGTGCTCCCTACCTTGAGTATCCTTCAAGGGGGTCAAGAGTTTTCAGTTGTATGTTGGCTTGGAGACCATTCAAGCTTTCCGCACATTTGATACTCACGCGGCTCTAGCATGTTGACATGATTTGATGAAATATGTGCCCAAACTCGGTAAATAAATAAATATATACAGTAACTATATATAATGATATTTGCTTTTATCTCTTATATTCGTGCAGGTATCATTGTAAATGGTCAGGTAACGTCATCAGTTCAACAGCCGAAGATGACTTACTTTACTTCGTTGTTCCTTCGTCTTGGAAACGTTAACCTGACAATCACTCCTGATCGCATGGAGGTCGATTGTCTGGGAGAAGATGGAACGCCTCAGGTACAATCTATCTTGTATTCATGCATGCTTTGTCTTCCTTGTAAAGTGAAATATTTGATATTAAGAATACAGTAGCATATATCATGGCCATTAGCAATGATAAAAAAAAACTAGGCTTATGGCTAAACATACAATGTTGTATTGTTAAACTTATCAAAATATTCATTGGTAGAGTAATGGATTTCAAAAAATATTTCCATTATCTACAGTTCTTGGTAATTTGTTTTTCAAACTTTTTAAAACCAAAATTTTACCTGTTGACACAGTGATAGTTATGTTGGTATATACCTGTTGATTATACAGGTGTAATCATGATGAAATTTATTTCCTCGTTAGACTCAATAATGATCAATAATGATAAACTTGTTTTATCATTATTGATAATATTTATCATTACCCTTCAATCAAGTTTACCATTGAAGAAGTAGTAAATGGGGTGTTATCATTTTTGGATTCAAAGCTTTATGGAACTTTCAAATTCAGTGTCTACAGGAAAGTAGACACTAATATTTGTTCGTATGATAATACGAACAAATATTATTGTAAATATTACAAATATTATTATCACTAATATTTGTTCGTATGACCATTATTTTTCCAATAATCACATCAAGGTCAAATATTCAGTGTTTCTTATGTTCCTCGGAGCCTTGAAAGTTTGTAGTCCTGAATTTAATGATGAAGAAATGGTCAAGTTCCGTGAAATGGCGATCAAGTTACAAAACTGTAAATGAGTGATTGTCATTGTTCTGCGATATGGTAAAAAAGGGCTTTTTATAACCATACACCGAAATCCAGTCAGATTTCTTAAGTTATTGGTTCTTCCTTATACTGAAAGTCAATCAAAACTGAGCCACATAATAAAAAATCGCAGTATCTTCCTTGTTTTAAGAACATCACTGAACTCTTTCCTTTTCAAGAACCCCCCATACTCACCCAAGGGTGAGTATGGGGGGTTGTTATATTGTCCTCGCAAAGATTGTAAAAGTTTTTACATTGCCCAGAAAAAATTTGCTAAACACCTCATGCAATATGAATATTCAGTAAGAACTTGACAGAAGTCAAATGCAATATTTGTGTATGTTAGATATACCAGTTATGCTATAAACTGAGACTCGGCAAGGTGTGTTTTTTAACAATGGATTCCTTGAGAGGAATTTGATCAAGTCAGCCCTCATCAGTCACCGCAGTAATACCCGTACACTTAATACCTGCCATGGAGTGTTCAACATAGGCCCAATTCTGTCAAGCAAAATTGCTAGGATGTTCAAATTGCATTAGGTTTATAACTTTTACATTATCTGGCCTTTAAGCGTTTAACTTTTCATCTAGTTTTTTGTGTTTACTCTTAAGTACAGTACTGTCAGGGTGAAAATGTTAGTTCCAGTAACTTGGTCCATTTTCTGTTTCTTCCCTTGCATCTGCACTAAATCAGACAGATGGCTTCAGTGTTTCCTTTACCTAATATCCTGTACATGTATATACAAAAGTAACTTTGCCCTGTCTCATCTGCAGGTGAATAGCATCACTAAATCCTTGTGGCCTTTCTATAAAAATAATGGGAGGAGATATAAGCATGGGCCAGACAAGAGGCTTCGCGCAAGTCCATCCGTCAACCAGACTAATCAGAAGAGACACTTCGGGCTAAATCAGATTGCTCCCGGGAACCTTGGCCACTACACACCCAGCACAGGTGTTAACCACCACATACACGGAGGCAGTAATCACTACACTTCCAGCAGCGGTAGGGAGCAAAATATCTTCAAAAAGCCTAGCAGTTACTTTTCCTATGACAGAATCAACAACAGAAATAACCAAGTGCACGTCACAAGCTCCCGGACCCGGAGGCTGGGGGACGAGAACACCAAGTACTGCAACCAAAACTCCACCTGGGAGGAAGGAGTCGGGAGAATGTGAGTTTTCTCTGGTCACTAATAATAATAATAATAATAAAGCTTCGTGAATCATTAATATTTGATAAGGCATATCAGTTATGGATATTTTCAAAATATGATTTCTAATTAAGAATACTACTCATTGTAAAATTGAAGCAATTTTAATCTCTTCTTAAAAGATACGGGAATGTCATGATTGTTTTAAGTAAAAAGAGACATCTGCACGTGACAATGGGAGATGGTTTGGCCCACTTTGCTGTAGTTCGTTCAAAGAACAAAATTGGACAGCGATTCCTTGGTTTCTACATCAAGGACCAGCAAATTTTATCACACCAGACACATGGAATTATTGGTAAGTAAATTCGAGATGTTTTTATGCATTATAAAGATGCTGGTTTACTTAATAAGAATAATATTTAAACATTAAAGAACTCACAAAGAAAATTGAATTTAAAATGAATTACTTTCAATGAAAATTGAAAGTATTTATGTGGATAAAATTCTTTAATATTAATGTGTGTGAAATCATGAAAGTGCACAGATCACTTGACGGTCTATACAATACAGGAAATGGGGTATCTGGCATTGCCTGGGTATGTCTCCCTCTCTCCCCCTTCCTCTCCCACCCTCTATCTTGTTCTATTTTTTTTTTTTTTTTTTTTTTACCAAGACTAGGGATCATTAGAGTTTTTGAATGAAGTGTGCCTAGTGCAACTGCAAGCAAGAGCTGTAATCCTATCTCAGCTCAGTTGAAACCTGCTCCTAAAAATCGACCTATTTACTTCATGAGCCTATTATATGCATCAATTATTTATCTCTTAAGTAACACTTGTGTAAGGAATAAGATAAGCCCGTAGCTAACTGTAATTACCTAAGTGTAGTTACAGGATGAGAGCTACGCTCGTGGTGTCCCGTCTTCCCAGTACTCTTTGTCATATAACGCTTTGAAACTACTGACAGTTTTGCCCTCCACCACCTTCTCACTTAACTTATTCCAATCATCTACCACTCTGTTTGCAAATGAAAACTTTCTAATATTTTCTCTGCATCTCTGTTTCCTTAGCTAGAATCTGTGTCCTCTTGTTCTTAATGTTGCTGGTTTCAGGAATTCCTCATTGTCAATTGGGTCGATTCCTATTAGTATTTTATAAGTGGTGATCAGATCACCTCATTTTCTTTTATCTTCTAGTTTTAGCATATTTAACGCCTCTAGTCTCTTCTCATAACTCTCATTCAGTTCCGGAAGCCATTTTGTAGCATGCCTTTGCATCTTTTCCAGTTTATTGATTCGCTGCTTGAGATTTGGGCACCATATACAACTGATGCATATTACAATTTTGGTCTCACATATGTCATGAACAATTTCTTTAGTATTTCACCATCCATGTAATTAAAAGCAAGTTGGAAAGCGATGCATACATGTGCCAGACTCTTCATGTGATCAGTTGACCTGATCTCTCATGTATCAACATCTTGAGTGAACAAGTCCCCCCCCTCCCCCCCCTGCCACCGCCGCCTCTGCCTCCTCCCTCCCTCCTCTCCCCCTCCCTCTCTCCCTCCCTCTCTCTCTCCCTCCCTCCCTCCCTCCCTCCCTCCCTCCCTCCCCTCTCCCTCTTTCTCTCTTTCTTTCTCTCTCTTTCTTTCTCTCTCTTTCTTTCTCTTTCTCTCTCTTTCTCTCTCTCTTTCTCTTTCTCTCTCTCTCTCTCTTTTCCCCCCCCCCATTTCCCCCATAATAATATATCATATTATGATCATATTATGATGATTATAATATACTACAATATTTACATTAATATATTTACAATATACTACAATATTATTAATATAATATACTGCAATATTTACATTGTAGTAAATACTCAGAAATAAATTTTATTATAAATACTGTACTAGTTACATATTTTAAATATTGTATATCAAAATTACAACTATAAGCAATATTGATTTATCAGTCAAGAGTACAGTAAATAGTACTATTAATTGTTTTCCAATTCATCAATCAGGTCAGTTCATCACTAAGAGTGTGAGATTGATCTCCCCAAACACTCTGGCAGTCAACAGAAACAACACCACGGAGAATACGTATGTATTGCCAATTTGTAACACTATAATAATAATAATAAATAATAATAATAATAAATTTTTATTCAGGTAAGGTACATACTGTACATACAAGGTAAGATACAAAAGTTGATGGATTTATAGATAGAACTAGTACATACAATGCCTAAAGCCACTATTACGCAAAGCATTTCAGGAAGAAACGCATGTGCGTTTCGTGCACTGTGTTGTATAGTTTTATCACTACCACAACACTTGATGTATACAGATGAATATTTACCCGAAGGCCAGCATCTCTAGAGGCCTCATCAGGGACAGGACAGGACTCGTTAAGAGTCCCTTCGTTGTTCCTGAATCTCTAGCTAAATTTTCAGCTGTAATGTCTTGGTATTGATGGATTCGGCAGGTAGGCGGTTCCACGAGTTTATAGGTCTATATTTATAAGCATTTTTGTTTTCTGTGCATCCCATACCCATCTTGTGGGTGGTAATGGAAAGGGTTACAGAGGCACATAATGGGTTCAGTCCCTGAGCCCATTATGTGCCTCTGTAACCCTTTCCATTACCGCCCACAAGATGGGTATGGGGTGCATAATAAATGAACTAAACTAAACTGTGCTGCATTGTGGCGTGTTAAGCTTGAAACTGTTTCCCTCTTGTATGCATTACATCTGATGTTTTAAAGAAGTGATCATGATTAATACAGTAACAGTAATACAGTAATGATAAAACAATAATACAGTAATATTAATATTAATACTGCACCTGTACTATCCTCAGATCACATTACTCTAAGAATAAACAATATTCAAATTAGTAACAAAGTAGATGAAAAATTCCTTGGTGTTCTCATTGATAACAACCTAAATTTCCAGGGCCACATTCAAAATATAGCAAAAAAAGTTTCTAAAACTGTTAGCATTCTTTCTAAGATCAGGTATTATACAATACAATACAATACAATTTTATTTAGGTAAGGTACATACATACAATAAATTTTTACAAGGATTGGTAGACTTATAGGTAGAGCTAGTACATACAATGCCTAAAGCCACTATTACGCAAAGCGTTTCGGGCATACATATTATGTACCTTGCCCTGCCCTGGTGACGCTGTATTACTCTCTTATCTCAATTATGGTATTTGTGCTTGGGGTTTTACTACCCAAAATCATCTACGTCCTCTAATTACACAACACAAATTTGCCATTAGAACAATCTCAAACTCTGGCCCCAGACAGCACTCGGTGCCCTTACCTAGATACCAAGTCACTGTACATCCTCTCAACCGTTCTCTATATATTTAAAACTCTGAACTGTAATGCCAATCCTGACCATAAATGCTTCCTAGAAGGTTATAACAGAACCCATGGGCACCACACCAGAAACAAATACTTATTTGATATTCCATGATATTTGATATGATGGATTTATAGATAGGGCTAGTACATACAATGCCTAAAGCCACTATTACGCAAAGCGTTTCGGCATGAAAAACTTAAATGACTAAAGCTTAATACTAATTGAGCATAAAGAATAAAATGAGTTGAGAACAAATAAAAAAAGAGATAAAAAGGGGGGAACATGGCTGAAAAAGCAGCACAAATACAATTTACATATATATACACATATATACACATACACATACACACATATATATATATATATAAATATATATATATATATATATATATATATATATATATATATATATAAAATATATATATATATATATATATATATATACTAATATATATATATATATATATATATATATATATATATATATATATTAGTATATTTTGGTAGCAGTCTTTCCTGTAGACATATATTATTAAATATGACAGAAAAAGTAAGATTAATAATTTGAACACGAATTTTCTCAATATTTCTTATGTTTCTTTTCACTGTCGATGGTAATTGAAAAATCAGTTCTCCAAAATTCACTTTTATTTCTAGTCTGAAGCAACACTTGAAAGTTTCGTAATAACTTATTACATTTTCAAAGACTTTAGTTTACACACACACACTATAACCTGCAAACACTAAACAGATTTCTTACTATGCTATAATTCAAACGGCTTTTCATTTTATATACCTGCATTTGGGTGAGGTGATATGTTACAACAGTTTTGGATGAGGTGAAAACAAACTTTTCAACACAAGATAGAACACGAAATATTGGGTAAATTTAAAGGGGGAAGAATGGAAGTAAATGCAAAGGGCCTATTGGCCCATATTTCTTGATGCTTCTATATTGGTGCGGAATCTTGAAGTGAATCTTGAATCTTGAATCGAATTAGCCTCAACGAATTCTACGTCTGACATGTTCCACTTATTGACAACTCTGACATTGAAAAAAGTTCTTTCTGAAGTCCCTGTGACTCATTTGCGTCTCGAGTTTCCATCCATGACCCATTGTTCTGCTGTTTTAGAAGCTGTTTTTTATGTTTTTAAAGCTGCAGCAGCTTTAAACACTGCTGCTTTGTCTACTTTGTCACTTTCCCTTAGGATGGTATACTCTACTCGTAACCTCTCTCTTTCTCTCTCTCTCTCTCCACTCTGATTGTTTGTTTTATGTCATCTTGTTGTAGAACTCCAGCAAGCTTGTCAAGCAAAATTTTCCTTTACTAAAACCATGCTGGTGCCTCGAGACAAAATTGATCTGTTCTAAATGTTCTACTAGTCTGAATCTGATCAGTCTCTAGCAACTTGCAGGGAATACTTGATAGTGATACGGGTCTGTAGTTTAATGGCTTCTGTCTTTTCCCTTGTTGATTGGTAACACAATTTCCAGCAGTTAGGAAGTTATACTGTTTATAGAGAGGAATTAAATATTGTGGCAAGAGGGCTGCACAATGTTTCAGTTGCCTCTTTTAATATCCATGGCGATATTTTGTCTGTTCCCGGGGTTTTTGTCACATCCAGTTCCTGTAGTTGCTTTAGTTCTTCTGGTGTCAGTATTATTTCAGTGAGGCTTTCCTGTGGAATTACCTGTTAGGTTTAGGTTCTAAGCTCAGGTGGCAAAGCAGCTTCCAGCTTAAATACTTCCTGAAAGCTTTTGTTAAGTTCCTCAAATACCTCCTCATCATTTTTCGTGTGTCCTCCCTTACTTTTGTCATGTTTGATTACCTGCTCATTCACAGTCATCTTCCTCCTGACATGACTATGGAACTGTTTTGGCTTAGACTTTTCTTTGTATGAAACATCATTCCCATACTGCTTCTCTGCCACTCTCTTAGTTTGTGACCTCTTTTCTGGCTCCTTGTATGCATTGTGATTTCCTTCTTTTCTGTATTTCTGGCATACTCTATTGCTTCTTTTCTTTGCTTTCAGATACTACCTGTTGAACCCTGAGGTAATGCTTGTCTTGCTTCCCTGAAACCTTAGGGGTGGTGTAAATCTTTCTATAGCTTCTTTGAGTTTGTTCGATACGTAGTCCATCAAATCCTGTGTTAAATTTCTTCTGAGTTATCTTCCCTCTTCTACCCCCCCTCTCCAGAAATTTTCTGACCTGATATTCTCCTCTTCTGCATGCTAACCTTACACACCCTCCATAGTTACATCTTTTTATGGTCTTCATTGTCACTATGTATTCAAAGAATAAAATTATTGCACATATTTCATTCTATAAAAGCAGCTACTTTTACTCCATAAAAGCATCTACTTTTACCCTATATAACAGCTACCTTTACCCTATAAAAACAGCTCCTTTTGCCTTTTAAAAGCAGCAACTTTTACAATAATGACAGTTCAAAGTAATCCTGATGCCAATATATTATCATTGTTGCAGGGTGAAAGTTGAAGTGAAGAGGCGGAACAAGAAGAACCAGCACAAGCTCTCTCTGGTGTCCGGGGTGTTGAACAAGCGGCGCTCCCTGCTGGAGAAAACCCACGTGGAGTGTATCCACATTCAAGGCAGAGGCAGAGGCCTCCTCGACGGTCAACCCAGGGACTATCTGCTGGAGTGCCTCCGCTGCTGAGACTGCGAGACAATGTCGGATAGTATTCTCGAGTTTCTTCTATGAGAAGAGAGGATGATGAAGAGAATTGCGTGTGGTTATGAAGCTTTAACTCGACACTGGACAGTGTACTGTCCGCTGAGGGTCTGGTAGAGGAAATAGCACAGAATTTTTGGTAATTAGATACAAATCATTAGAGCTTTCTCGGCTGTCACAATCAAGCTTCACTATTTTATAGAAGCTAGTTCTTTGTCATGAGTTTTTTTTTTAATTAAGCATTTAAATGTAAATACTCAATTTAGTTTGCTATCTAGTTGACAAGTTTGTCCTTGAATTCATATATTGTCAATGTATTTCATATTTGTTATCATTGTTTCGTGTGTTATTATAACGTACTCTGTACACTAGAGCTTCATTTGTTTATATTATTAAAATGATAGTGAACGATAAGATATGGCAGTAAAATAATTATATATATATATATATATATATATATATATATATATATATATATATATATATATATATATATATATATATAATATACATATTTATATATATATATACATATTTATATATATATACATATTATATATATATACATATTTATATATATATACATATTTATATATATATACATATTTATATATATATACATATTTATATATATATACATATTTATATATATATACATATTTATATACAGTATATATATACATATTTATATATGTCGTACCTAGTAGCCAGAACTCACTTCTCAGCCTACTATTCAAGGCCCGATTTGCCTAATAAGCCAAGTTTTCCTGAATTATTATATTTACTATAATTTTTTTCTTATGAAATGATAAAGCAACCCTTTTCTCTATGTATGACGTCAATTTTTTTTTATTGGAGTTAAAATTAACGAAGATATATGACCGAACCTAACCAACCCTACCTAACCTAACCTAACCTATATTTATAGGTAAGGTTAGGTTAGGTAGCCAAAAAAGCTAGGTTAGGTTAGGTTAGGTAGGTTAGGTAGACGAAAAAACATTAATTCATGAAAACTTGGCTTATTAGGCAAATCGGGCCTTGAATAGTAGGCTGAGAAGTGCGTTCTGGCTATTAGGTACGACATATATATATACATATTTATATATATATATACATATTTATATATATATATATGTCGTACCTAGTAGCCAGAACTCGCTTTTTGGCCTACTATTCAAGGCCCGATTTGCCTAATAAGCCAAGTTTTCCTGAATTAATATATTTTTTCTAATTTTTTTGTTATGAAATGATAAAGCTACCCATTTCATTATGTATGAGGTCAATTTTTTTTATTGGAGTTAAAATTAACGTAGATATATGACCGAACCTAACCAACCCTACCTAACCTAACCTATCTTTATAGGTTAGGTTTGGTTAGGTAGCCGAAAAAGTTAGGTTAGGTTAGGTCAGGTAGGTTAGGTAGTCGAAAAACAATTAATTAATGAAAACTTGGCTTACTAGGCAAATTTGGCCTTGCATAGTAGGCATAGAAGTGCGTTCTGGCTACTAGGTACGACATATATATATATATATATATATATATATATATATATATATATATATATATATATATATATATATATATATATATATATATAATATATAATATACTGTACTGCTCATTGGAAGAGAAAGTGTTGAAATGCAGAAATAATTATTGCTTATGTAATATATCATAATTGTGTAATGTCACAATTAACTGTATCTGTAATTTCTCAAATAACCTTTTGAATGTAACTGTGAATCAGTTGAACTCATAACACTCTAAGAAGACGTTGTGTCATTTTCTCCATTATTGGCAAATGTCAGTAGTCATGATGCTCAGTGATCAACTAAAATATATTCAAAATTCTTTGTTGCAATCTAAGGCTTTCACGTTGTTCCAATAATTCCCGTTAATTCCCAAAATTCACACATTTTTTAAATACATGTGTACTTAAGTATTCCTTATGTTCTTATAGTCGAAGAGTAATGGACACCGATTAGTCCTCAGTATTTCGTCTGATACTCGACTTCAAATTACATTTGCCTCAAATCTTTCCTACTTAAAATAATACCAGAATGAAGCAAAATTCAGCATATGTAAATTTGAGTTATTTATGAAATGTGATGATTACAACATGACAAACTAGAGAAGCAGTAAAGTTATACGAGAGTAAGACTGGAAGACAGCCTAATGTGGTAGTGGAACTTAAGATTACTGTACTTGGGTTATAACTCTTGATGGAGCACGCTGATCTTGTTGGACCCGCTAGAATCCTGCTTTGTTTTGAACAACTTAATTAGAAACGAGGCATGCCGACAAGACAAGGCAGTTATACGGAGAAGCGCCATGACAGTATGGCCGCGACACTGCAGTACTTACCTGAATTTATCTGAGGGGTCACTGACACTAGTGGCCTCATCATGGACAGGAAACTGGCAGTTTGTCGAAGGTTCCCCCCATTTAACTTGATAATCTTTTCCAGTTGAATTTTGAAATTCAACAGTCTTGGTGTTTATGGCTTCAGTGGGTAGGCAGTTCCATGGGTTTATATCCCTGTGGGTGAAAAAGCATCTCCTGTTCTCAGTCCTACATGTGGCTTGTTGAGCTTGAAACCGTTGCTCCTTGTTTGTGTTACATCTGACCTTTTAAAGAAATTGTCTAGATCCTCCAACTTGTTCAGTATTTTTAAAAGTTTCATTGAGATCTGTCCTGTCATGCTTGCTTTGTAGAGTCGTTAGCCCTGTGGCCCTCAACCGCTCCTGATACGAGAGATGATTTAACTCTGGAATGACTTTAGTTGCTCGGTGTTGCACTTTCTCCAGAGCAGCTATGTCCTTCTGAAGATGAGGTCTCCATTCTTGGGTACATTAATCCAAATGGGAGCGCACCAGAAATTTATGCAGTTGAATCACTACCTACTTTTCCTTAAAGTCAAAGGTACGCTTGATTATTCAAAGGGTTTGGTTAGCTTTTCTGACTGCTGCTTCTACCTGTTGTGCATCTACCTGTTGTGCTTCTACCTGTTGTGGATTTTTACCCCAAGGTCCTTTTCTTCATCAATCTGCTGTAATGTAATGGCACTGATTTGGTAGTTGTGGCGTGGGTTGCAATGCCCTACATGCAAGGTCTTGCATTTGTCGATATTAAAAAAAAACATTTACCAGTCTTCTGACCATTTGCGGAGTATATGTAGATTTCTTTGTAAGGCTTCAAATATCATTATCATTTCCCATTTTACCATAAATCTGTGTCATCTGCAAGTTTAATGATGTAGTTTATAATATTCTCATCTATTCTCACATTGATGTGACAAAAAAAAAATAGGCCCCAAAATGGTACCTGTGGTACCCTACTTACCTTTTTTTTTATATTAACATATTTAGGTACATCTGCATTTGTGCAGCTGCCTTAGACTGTATGAAAGGACAGTGTGTCAAAAAGCTAGCTACGTGATGCTAAAAAATCCCCATCACACAGGATGGTTAGTCATACGGAGGCATGTGATAAGTAGTCTGCACTGGCAGACTCCGGGTGCATTATGAGGATATCAACTCAAGAGTGAATAAGGTAGCAGGGATACTGAAAGTCCCCATCTCGCAGGATCATTCATACGGGGCCATATGTTTAGTAGCATGCACTGGCAAACTTTGGGTGCACTAAGAGGATATCTTCAAGAACACGAGAGTGAATAAAGTAATCGCAAAGCTCCAGGTACCTCATGCCAACGGGTCTGAATGGTCTAATACCTGGGCATTCGGTGATGTAGTGCGGGAGATCATGCCGCAGTTCCTGCTCACAGAGTTTGCACCTGGAGTGCTCAGGATTGGGAGATCCGTCACTTGTAGCCACCTGCCACAGGTAACGGTAACCCAACCTGATCCTGGCAACCACCGTGTCGCACAGTCTGGTGGACGTTAAGGCACCCTTCTTACCACATTTCTCCATTCAGATTCGTTTCCATTTTGCATGACCCTTAGTTTTCTTTGTTTCAACCATTGTTTTAGCAGTTCTAGTATTTTACCCTTTATTTCATTGACCTGTACTTTCCTTGCCAGTCTTATATGTGATACATTATCAAAGGCTTTAGCAAAATCCATGTATACTATATCCACTGGAAGGTTTTTGAGTAGCTGGTTACCGTTTTCAAAAATGTGAGCAGGTTTGTTAGGCAGGATCTATTTTTTAACAAATCTACGTTGTGTTGATTGTACAAGATTGTTCCCTGAAAAATGATGAATGATTCCCTCCCTGAGGATTCTCGCCATGAACCTTCAGATGTCATGTCAAGCTGGTCGGCCGGTAATTTTATGCCGAGCTCTTTTTGCCTTTTTTGAAAAAGTGAGGTGAAATTTGCGTATTTCCAACCTAGGGGTACTGCCCCTTGGCCCAGAGATTTTGTGAAAAGTAATTTCAGTGGAAGGCATAGTTCTTCTGCCAGTTCCTTTAAGACTTTGGATTGAACTCCATCCACACCTATTAACGAGTATCTAGGAGATCTAGAATGCTGTTACCACGCGTGTGATCTACCACATGCTGTATGAGAAAAAACTAAATTCTGTACAAGGTCTAGAAATTGTTCTCCTGCTTGTGATGATAGATTTACCCAATCTATGGTCTCATGGTTAAAGTTCCCCATTCCAATTGCAACTTCCTCTGCCGCTGCTGTGTCAGCCCTGTTGCACACTCCCACAGTCATTTTGCTACCATCTCGAGTTAGTATGTTGCACCATACAGCCTCTGAGGGTCCCGTGGTGTTCAGTTTCTCATTGTTGGTAGCATCCAAGTCCTCTTTCACATACAGCATCACCCGCCTGCTCTTGTTGCTCTGTCCTTTCTGAATGATGGATGGTATCCTGGGAGATGGAATTTCCCCTCTGTTATGTCCTCTCGTCCCCATGTTTCACTGATGCTAATGATGTCCGGATATCCAGTTTCTGCATAAACGCACAATGAGTCACATTTATTTATTAAGCTTCTGGCATTTGTGTAGAAACAATTTAAACTCTTGACGTTCCTGGGGGCTGAGATATTGCTTCTGTATTTAGCACATTACATTTCTGTACATTGTCGCTCTGGTTCTGTACCTATTTGTCGTCCGAGATATATACAGTAGAGTTAGTTATGCCTGACTGGGTGAAGGACTATGACCTCTCCTCCATCTACTATCACCTGCCTTCTCCTGATCTTTTGCTTTTAAATCTTTGTCTTGGTCTGTGTTTCTTATTACATATTGTGAAGACGGTCACAAGAGGCAGGAGAGGCTCCCACAGTGCCTGTTGTTGCAGGATGCCTTCCATGGGTAACCCAAAGCCACTGATCGTGCGCTAGAAAGAAATGAAAGCAGTTGTTCAGTACGCCATGGTCCTAACCTTTGAACAGTAATTCAACTCTCATGAGAGAAAAGTTCATCAATTGTATTATATTTATCTGTACATAGTGTCCAATAGCAGTTATGCAAAAATATAAATAATAGAATCCTATTTTCATAAGATATGTTGCAATATTAACAAGTGATGTGAATTTTTTTTGTCGTGTAATTTTCCGCAGAGCATTGGCTAGCCTGGAGGCAATATCTGGCATATACATTTAACAGGGCTAATATTTTATCAGTAAAAGAAGTCCTGATCAGTCAACTGTGACTGATACACTTCTAAGGAATCAGCCATTATTATACAACCCATAAAATACTGTACTATGAATTTCAGTCTGATGCAAAATAAGCTAATGCAAATAGTTACATTTACCCGTCACTTAATACCCTATTCATCCAACTAGCTGACTTGATGTTTGTTATTGTGGGTCCACTTGATAAATGTCATCGTGGGGTCTACATGAAACATGTTATCGCGTGTTTATATAACACGATATAATGTTATATAACATAACGTTATATCGTATATTTATATAACAAGACCTACGCGTTACCGTAGGTTTACGCGATGTGTGTTATTTGTGGGGTCTATTTGATACATGTTATCATGAATCTATGTGACACCTTTTATAGTGCGTGGACATTATACATGTTATCGTGGGGTATACATGATGCATATTATCGTGAGTCTGCTTGATATATGTTCTTGGAGGGTCTACATGACACACATTATCATGGGCTTACATGATACTTGTTATCGTGGGTCTACTCGCAGCCTTGTAAAATTTGCCATTTTAACGAGTCGTGTTTTGAAATATAAATGTTTGTGTTTACAGATCTTTATAAGAATTCATTTAGAGTTAAAAATCTGATTTCTATTCATCAAAACTGTACAAATGAAAATAATCATTACATTGATGATCGTGTACAATAGTCAGTGTTGCTAACATAACTCAAATTAGACGACAGAGGAATAGACTGCGAAACATCTGTATCTAACTCAAGATAACCTCAAGAAGATAACTTGGTTCAGCACAGCATTATAAGACATTAAATTAAGTCCACATGAAAGATTTATATAAGGCTATATGATACATGGGCTATGTATACTGTGTCATTTGCTTTGAGGTATGCAGGAGTGAGAGGGCTAGCCACAGAGGTGAAAGCGGACACACGTGTCATGATCACATGCGTCCGCAGGGCTCTATATGTGTCAAATATGATTATTTCTTAAACTAAAATTACACTTAATAATAATGTTTTAAGTAAATGGTAATAGTAGCTTTTACATCAACCATATTTATCATTATTTAATTCCACTCTCCACTAAATTGTGTGTCTTTACTGTTAATTAAAAAGAGTTATAAAGTTGTATTAAAAATGCTTTGCATTAAACCTGGTTTTCTTTAACTCTGTTTCGGTATTTGTATATAAACAATAAAATTTATTACATCACAGTTTATGTATAAATATCCCGTCAGTCTTATTTCCCTTATATTGTAGTAAACTATTGAAACCTGTTAAATCAAATAATAGAAATATGAAGCTACACTGGTTGTTTCATATACCAAGACATGTATACTAGTTATCGGTGTATGTATACTATGTGTGAGTTTACTCTCTCTCTCGCCCTCCCAAAAGAGGGAGATAAATAAACATAATAATAATAATAATAATAATTTTTCTTCGGGTAAAAGTACATTCATTTAATTAAGATGAGTTGCAAACAAAATGATTTCCATTCAAGTTTAAAATGGATGGAAGGAGCCAGATTGTTAAGAGAGGAAAGGCTGGAAAAGACTGAGGCCATAAGCAAAAATGTCATCAACATTGCGAAGCCAGAGAGAGGGATGAGCATCAGTAGTGGGCAGAAGAAGAGTTTCGAAGTATTCCGTGTAGAGATTGGCAAGAACAGGGGAGAGAGGGGAACCCATAGCGACACCGAAAGTTTGAGTGTAAAATTTACCGTTAAAAGAGAAAGAGTTTAAGCCAACACAGTAACAAGTATTAAGAGTAAATACAATACAATACAATACAATACAATACAATTTTATTTAGGTAAGGTACATACATACAATAAATTTTTACAAGGATTGGTTGACTTATAGGTAGAGCTAGTACATACAATGCCTAAAGCCACTATTACGCAAAGCGTTTCGGGCATGATAAACTTAAATGACAAGCTTAATACTAATTGAGCATAATGAGTAGAATGACGACTGAATAACTGTCCTCGTCGAGGCCACTCCTGTTAGTGGCCCTCAGGTAAACTCAGGTATGTGAAGAGGGAGGGAGGGAGTGAGGGGGAGTATATGTGCAGAGGGAGGGAGAAAGGGAGGGAGGGAGAAAGGGAGGGTGGGAGGTTGGGAGGGTGGGAGGTTGAGAGGTTGAGAGGGAGGGAGGGATATGGAGGGTGAGAGAGGGTGGGAGGTTGGGAGAGAGGGAAAGAGGGTGGGAGGTTGGGAAGGAGGGTGGGAGGGAGGGCGGGAGGGATGGAGGGTGGGATGGAGGGTGGGAGGTTGGGAGGGAGGGTGGGATGGAGGGAGGGAGGGAGGGAATGAGGGAGGGAGAGTACATGTGCAGAGGGAGGGAGGGAGGGAAAGTACATGTACAGAGGGAGGGAGGGAGGGAAAGTACATGTGCAAAGGGAGGGAGGGAGGGAGGGAAAGTACATGTACAGATGGAGGGAAGGAGGGAGGGAGTACCCCCAGTGTCACCAGAGTACTGGAGAGAACAAGAGCAACAGGCAACACAACACCGCCACCACTGGAAGCAGGAGAAGCAGAGTGAACCAGATATAAGAAATGTGTAAATTTATCGGAAGGCGAGAACGAAAGGTGAGCGTGGGAGAGTGGCAGCTGAAGGATGGAGAGAGTGAGAGAGAGGGAGAGAGCCAGACACAAGTGGCGTGGGAGTTCCACAACAGCTCCGAGTATCACAAAATGTGGACGTGTTTATCCTGCTGCCTCCTCCTGCTTCATGGTAAGTCTCGTCTGTGTCCTCACCTCACTGTACCGATATCCTCGTCCACCAGCCATTGTCCTCTCTTGATAGCATGGCGTTCTCCATGCTATGTTTCACCTGTTCTCAGCTCGTGTATTGATATCTTCCTATACCCCATGCCCAGCGGGGTATTACAGCCTCCTTAACCCCTGACACAAGTACCCCCATGCCCACCGGGGTATTACAGCCTCCTTAACCCCTGACACAAGTACCCACATGCCCACCGGGGTATTACAGCCTCCTTAACCCCAGACACAAGTACCCACATGCCCACCGGGGTATTACAGTCTCCTTAACCCCTGACACAAGTACCCACATGCCCACCGGGGTATTACAGCCTCCTTAACCCCAGACACAAGTACCCACATGCCCACCGGGGTATTACAGTCTCCTTAACCCCAGACACAAGTACCCACATGCCCACCAGGGTATTACAGCCTTCTTAACCCCTGACACAAGTACCCACATGCCCAGCGGGGTATTACAGCCTTCTTAATCCCTGACACAAGTACCCACATGCCCAGCGGGGTATTACAGCTTTCTTAACCCCTGACACAAGTACCAACATGCCCACCAGGGTATTATAGCCTTCTTAATCCCTGACACAAGTACCCACATGCCCAGCGGGGTATTACAGCCTCCTTAACCCCTCCAACTCCAAACCTTTGACAAAACTCCTTTTGTCAAAACTTTGAACTCCAAACCTTTCCAGATATTCTAAAAAAAGCGAGAGTAACGCCTGTCCACAAATGTGGTGATCTCACAGATGTTAACAACTACAGACCTATATCAATCCTGCCAAACTTGTCAAAAATTTTTGAAAAACTAATCTATAAGCAGCTTTACTCATATCTAGCCAAACTCAATATACTTAGCCCTTGCCAATATGGCTTCAGACCCCAAAAAAGCACTAACGATGCACTTATTAGTATGCTTAACTCGATTCATACAGCTCTTGATAAAAATGAGTTCCCTGTTGGGTTATTTGTGGACCTGCGTAAAGCTTTTGATACTGTCAACCACCAAAACCTTCTTCTTAAATTACATCATTATGGAGTCAGAGGACACTCCCTACAATACCTCAATTCCTACCTTACTGACAGGCTCCAATATGTTTCTGTGAATAATACAATTTCTCCCACCCTACCCATCAACATTGGTGTTCCTCAGGGCAGCATACTTGGCCCTCTCCTCTTTCTCATCTACATTAATGACCTTCCAAATGCCTCCGAACACCTCAAACCAATTCTATTTGCTGACGACACAACCTTCATTTACTCCAGTCCTGACCCCCTTGCTCTAAATGCCACAGTAAACACTGAGCTAAATAAAGTCCATCTTTGGCTAACTGCCAACAAACTCACCCTTAACATTGACAAAACTTTCTATATTCTGTTTGGCAATAAATCCTCTAATCAAATAAATCTCAAAATAAACAGTACCCAAATTTGTAACAAATTAGATGGCAAATTCCTTGGCATTCTCATTGACCACAAGCTGAATTTCCAGGGACACATTCTAAATATATCAAAAAAAGTTTCAAAAACTGTGGGCATTCTTTCTAAGATCAGATATTATGTACCACGTCCTGCCCTGGTGACTCTCTATTACTCCCTTATCTATCCATATCTCAACTATGGTATTTGTGCTTGGGGCTCTACTACCCAAAATCACTTACGTCCTCTAATTACTCAACACAAAGCTTCTATTAGGACAATATTCAACTCTGGCCCCAGACATCACTCGGTACCCCTACTCAAATCTCTGAATATGTTAGACATTAAGTCACTGCACATTCTCTCATGTGTATTATACATATATAAAACGCTAAACTATAATGCCAATCCTGATCTCAAAAGCTTCATAGAAGGATGTAACAGAACCCATGAGCACCACACCAGAAATAAATACAGTTTTGATATTCCTAGAGTACGACTTAATCAAACTAGAAATGCTCTACAAATCAAGGGGCCCAGAATGTGGAATGACCTTCCCAACCATGTTAAAGACTGTACCTCTCTCAACCAGTTTAAGTTAAAAACGAAGCTATACCTAATAAATTCCCTGTAACCTACCTTACCCTTCTATTGTCAGCCAATGTCTGTTTTTTATAAAGAGCGCTGTTTGTCGACATAATTGTATTTGTGCTGCTTTTTCATCTATGTTTTCATTTCTTGTTTTCATTCTACTCATTATGCTCAATTAGTATTAAGCTTGTCATTTAAGTTTTTCATGCCCGAAACGCTTTGCGTAATAGTGGCTTTAGGCATTGTATGTACTAGCTCTACCTATAAGTCAACCAATCTTTGTAAAAATTTATTGTATGTATGTACCTTACCTAAATAAACATTTTATTTTATTTTTACACAAGTACCCACATGCCCAGCGGGGTATTACAGCCTTCTTAACCCCTGACACAAGTACCCACATGCCCAGCGGGGTATTACAGCCTTCTTAACCCGACACAAGTACCCACATGCCCAGCGGGGTATTACAGCCTTCTTAACCCCTGACACAAGTACCCACATGCCCAGCGGGGTATTACAGCCTTCTTAACCCCTGACACAAGTACCCACATGCCCAGCGGGGTATTACAGCCTCCTTAACCCCTGACACAAGTACCCACATGCCCACCAGGGTATTACAGCCTCCTTAACCCCTGACACAAGTACCCACATGCCCACCAGGGTATTACAGCCTCCTTAACCCCTGACACAAGTACCCACATGCCCACCGGGATATTACAGCCTCCTTAACCCCTGACATAAGTACCCACATGCCCACCAAGGGTATTACAGCCTCCTTAACCCCTGACACAAGTACCCACATGCCCACCAGGGTATTACAGCCTCCTTAACCCCTGACACAAGTACCCACATGCCCACCATGGTATTACAGCCTCCTTAACCCCTGACACAAATACCCACATCACATGCCCACCAGGGTATTGCATCCTCCTTAACCACTGACACAAGTACCCCCATACCCACCAGGGTATTACAGCCTCCTTGAACCTCCCTCATAAAGGCTCCCCGACTAGTGGTGAACGACTTCGATGTTCAAGCTCAAGTCCCTGGTTCTAGTCCCGACCGGAGCAAAAGCAATTTGACAACCTTTCGTGAACCTCATGCTTCTGTTCACCTAGCAGTAAATAGGTTAGACAGCTTCTATTGGCTACATCTTTGAGATGGTCAGTAGTCAGGCAAGTAGCAAGTAGTTTGGATGGTTCCAAGCGATTTTATAAATTTTATATTCAACAATTAACAAGATTAAAACTAACAAGGACAAGGACAATTAACAAGGAAAAACAAGACAAGAGAATGTCTCGACTCCCACCGTTCAGCAGATGGCAGTTCCCACACGCAAAATACTCAGGACAATATCACGGAAAACATGATAGTACACACGGCAATCGTCTTGAGGTTATCTTGAGATGATTTCGGGGCGTAACGTCCCCGCGGCCCGGTCCTCGACCATCTTGAAGGTTTTTTTAAATGATTTCGGGGCTTAGCGTCCCCGCGGCCCAGTCCTCGACCATCTTGAGGTTATCTTGAAATGATTTCGGGGCGTAGCGTCCCCGCGGCCCGGTCCTCGACCCTCTTGAGATTATCTTGAGATGACAGTACTGCCACGGCTCTTGATCACATCTGGACCAACATAACCTCTCCACTTACTTCAGGGATAATAACTGATAGCACTACAGACCATTACCCCACATTTGTCCTAACCAACACTAACAAACCACCTCTAGAGACAAGGGAGATAAGCTTTAGGCTGCACAATGAAACTGCTATAGACAATTTTATAGCTGCTGCTGATAATGTCAACTGGGAGTCCGAGTTAGGTAACATAGGGGACATCAACCTAGCAGTGCAATCTTTTCTTCAAAAAACTCTCAGCCTTTATAACACCTCCTTGGTGTTACAAAAGTCCTTAGTCCTTAGAACTTGGTATTACAGCCTCCTTAAGGAGGCTGTAATACCCTGGTGGGCATGTGGGTACTTGTGTCTGGGGTTAAGGAGGATGTAATACCCTGGTGGGCATGTGGGTACTTGTGTCTGGGGTTAAGGAGGATGTAATACCCTGGTGGGCATGTGGGTACTTGTGTCTGGGGTTAAGGAGGATGTAATACCCTGGTGGGCATGTGGGTACTTGTGTCTGGGGATAAGGAGGATGTAATACCCTGGTGGGCATGTGGGTACTTGTGGGTACTTTATAAAATATATATATGCCAGGGGCATAACTGGCCGACCCCTCACAGTGTTCAAGAGAGAACTGGATAAGCACCTCCAAAGGATGCCTGATCAACCAGGCTGTGACTCGTACGTCAGGCTGCGAGCAGCCGCGTCCAACAGCCTGGTTGATCAGTCCGGCAACCAGGAGGCCTGGTCGACGACCGGGCCGCGGGGACGCTAAGCCCCGGAAGCACCTCAAGGTAACCTCAAGGTAACCCACTGTCCTATGCTAACGAAACAAGTCACAACTACAAGGCTAAACAATTCTTGGCTTACAAAGGGGATACTTAAATCCATTAATAAAAAAATGACCTTGAGAAGAAGTATAGGTTAGGAACCGTCTCCAAAGAATTCTCAAAGAATTACTCATCATTGCTATCTAAAATAATTAGGAGAGCCAAAATTAAATACTACGAAGATAAATTTACCCACACAAAGGGCAACATTAAGAAAACATGGAGCACAATTTCTCAAATATTGGAATCAAAGAAGATTATAAATAACAAACCAACACACCTGTTAAATAATAATGGTCAGCTTTCAGCCTCTGACACTGCTCTTGAGTTCAATAGGTTCTTCTCTTACATTGGGTCATCCCTTACAAATGATATTCCATCGTCCAGTACTGATGTTAAGGACTATCTTACAGGTAACTATCCACAGTCTCTGTACCTAAAGCCTACAAATTCCACTGATGTTACTGACATAATCCTTTCCCTTAAAACCAAGTCTAGTGCCCTTGAGGAGATACCAACTCTTATTTACAAAAAAGCCTCCAGATTTTTAGCTCCTGCCATTGCTTTGCTCTTCAACAAGTCACTTGAACTCCAAACCTTTCCAGATATTCTAAAAAAAGCGAGAGTAACGCCTGTCCACAAATGTGGTGATCTCACTGATGTTAACAACTTCAGACCTATATAAATTCTGCCAAACTTGTCAAAAATATTTGAAAAACTAATCTATAAGCAGCTTTACTCCTATCTAGCCAAACTCAATATACTTAGCTCTTGTCAATATGGCTTCAGACCCCCAAAAAACACTAACGATGCACTTATTAGTATGATTAACTTGATACATACAGCTCTTGATAAAAATGAGTTCCCTGTTGGGTTATTTGTAGACCTGCGTAAGGCTTTTGACACTGTCAACCATCAAAACCTTCTTCTTAAATTACAACATTATGGAGTCAGAGGACACTCCCTGCAATACCTCAAATCCTACCTTACTGACAGGCTCCAGTATGTTTCTGTGAATAATTAAATTTCTCCCACCCTACCCATCAACATTGGTGTTCCTCAGGGCAGTATACTTGGCCCTCTCCTCTTTCTCATCTACATTAATGACTTTCCAAATGCCTCCCAACACCTCAAACCAATTCTATTTGCTGACGACACAACCTTCATTTACTCCAGTCCTGATCCCCTTGCTCTAAATGCCACAGTAAATACTGAGCTAAATAAAGTCCATCTTTGGCTAACTGCCAACAAACTCACCCTTAACATTGACAAAACTTTCTATATTTTGCTTGGCAATAAATCCTCAAATCAAATAAATCTCAGGATTAACAATACCCAAATTTGTAACAAAGTAGATGGCAAATTCCTTGGCGTTCTCATTGACCGCAAGCTGAATTTCCAGGGACATATTCTAAATATATAAAAAAAGTTTGAAAAACTGTGGGCATTCTTTCTAAGATCAGATATTATGTACCACGCCCTGCCCTGGTGACTCTCTATTACTCCCTCATCTATCCATATCTCAACTATGGTATTTGTGCTTGGGGTTCTACTACCCAAAATCATTTACGTCCTCTGAATACTCAACACAAAGCTGCTATTTGGACAATATCCAACTCTAGCCCCAGACATCACTCGGTACCCCTACTCAAATCTCTGAATATGTTAGATATTAAGTCCCTGCACATCCTCTCATGTGTATTATACATATATAAAATGCTGAACTGTAATGTCAATCATTGACCTTAAAAGCTTCATAGAATTTTGTAGCAGCACCCATGAGCACCACACCAGAAATAAATACAGTTTTGATATTCCAAGAGTACGACTTAGTCAAACTAGAAATGCTCTACAAATCAAGGGACCCAGAATGTGGAATGACCTTCCCAACCATGTTAAAGACTGTACCTCTCTCATCCAGTTTAAGAGGAAAACTAAGTACACCTAATTAACTGCATGTAACCTTCCTCACCCCAAAATGTCAACCCATGTCTTCTATTTTAAACAATGCTGTTTTGTTGACCAAATTGTATTTTTGCTTTTTTTTCTGCCATGTTCCCCCTTTTTCCATTTTTTTCTTATTTTTCTCAACACAATTTATACTTTAATCTCAATTAGTATTAAGTTTTAGTCTAGTGTTTTTCCTGCCCGAAACGCTTTGCGTAATAGTGGCTTTAGGCATTGTATGTACTAGCTCTATCTATAAATCCATCAATGTTTGTATCATACCTTGCATGTATGTACTTTACCTGAATAAACATTTGTATTTGTATTGTATTTGTTATCAAGTCTTGTGGTCCACGACAGCCCGAAACGTTCTCACTTTCTGTATTTTCGGATGTGTGAGTTGAGCGTTAAATTTTGAGCCCTGTTATTATGACTTAGTGCTTTCAGGATAACACATATTCTTTAGAAATATTTAATTTGTATATTTACCCAGCATCTATTGCTTGATATTGTCCTCAGCTTTGTCCTTGGAGGCGTCGGAACTGAGGCAGGGACCCCGGGAGCCGCCACACCTGAGGCAGGGACCCCGGGAGCCGCCACACCTGAGGCAGGGACCCAGGGAGCCGCCACACCTGAGGCAGGGACCCCGGGAGCCGCCACACCTGAGGCAGGGACCCCGGGAGCCGCCACAACTGAGGCAGGGACCCCGGGAGCCGCCACACCTGAGGCAGGGACCCCGGGAGCCGCCATACCTGAAGCAGGGACCCAGGGAACCACCACACCTGAAGCAGGGACCCAGGGAGCCACCACACCTGAAGCAGGGGCCCAGGGAGCCGCCACAACTGAGGCAGGGACCCCGGGAGCCGCCACACCTGAAGCAGGGACCCAGGGAGCCACCACACCTGAAGCAGGGGCCCAGGGAGCCGCCACAACTGAGGCAGGGACCCCGGGAGCCACCACACCTGAAGCAGGGACCCAGGGAGCCACCACACCTGAAGCAGGGGCCCAGGGAGCCGCCACACCTGAAGCAGGGACCCAGGGAGCCACCACACCTGAAGCAGGGGCCCAGGGAGCCGCCACAACGGCAAGTCCATATCATCGGGGGTGACGACGCCGCTCCGGGCGAGTTCCCCCACCAGGTATGTTCCCGCGAGAGAGAGATACTGTCATGGTCAAGCTCTTGACACAGCCATTTATAACGTCCAAAACGTCACGAATATGATGTACTAAATTCCCGAGTCTACCCTAATCATGAAATAGAAAACGCGACATACCTCGTCTGCTTTGACAGCCCCTGTGATTTTTAGGGGACATCATTTGTTTTATGGGATTTTATACCTCAAAATACGACGTACTATGGGACAGAGAGACGGAGACGGAGAGAGAGAGAGAGAGAGAGAGAGAGAGAGAGAGAGAGAGAGAGAGAGAGAGAGAGAGAGAGAGAGAGAGAGAGAGAGAGAGAGAGAGAGAGAGAGAGAGAGAGAGAGAGAGAGAGAGAGAGAGAGAGAGAGAGAGAGGACTTCAGAGCTCCAACCTAAACGGGGTTCACTCATGAACCGAGACAGAATTAAGTCTGTCATCGCTTGTTAAGAAGATACCGACCTCAGGACAGGAGAATTTCACAAGGCGTTGAGAGGAGGTCCATACACGCACTGCCCTCCATGGTAGCCGGTGAACTACTGACTAAGAGTGTAATGAGGACATGGGCAAAGAGCCTCGCGTGAAGGCTGGAATCTTACGGCTGCGTGCTGTCAGGTTCACGGTGAAATTTGACCGCGCGCTTAATGGGTTTTGGTGGTAATTGCTTGCTGAGCTTGTCAATAGGCCAAATCAATCGGATAGACACCTGGACATGCAGTTACATGTTGAAGGTCGACTCTCTCCACACACGCGGCCACCGACATGCCTACATACCTGCACCCGCCCCGCCACACACATACCCACGCTCACTCTCCTTCACCGCGGGGTTATCTTGAGGTTATCTTGAGATGATTTCGGGGCTTTTTAGTGTCCCCACGGCCCGGTCCTCGACCAGGCCTCCACCCCCAGGAAGCAGCCCGTGACAGCTGACTAACACCCAGGTACCTGTTTCACTGCTAGGTAACAGGGGGCATAGGGTGGTTATCTTGAGATGATTTCGGGGCTTTTTTAGTGTCCCCGCGGCCCGGTCCTCGACCAGGCCTCCACCCCCAGGAAGCAGCCCGTGACAGCTGACTAACACCCAGGTACCTATTTTACTGCTAGGTAACAGGGGCATAGGGTGAAAGAAACTCTGCCCATTGTTTCTCGCCGGCGCCTGGGATCGAACCCAGGACCACAGGATTACAAGTCCAGCGTGCTGTCCGCTCGGCCGACCGGCTCCCCAGTAGTTCACCGAAGTAGTTCTTAGTCAGTAGTTCACCGGCTACCATGGAGGGCAGTGCGTGTATGGACCTCCTCTCAACGCCTTGTGAAATTCTCCTGTCCTGAGGTCGTTATCTTCTTAACAAGCGATGACAGACTTCTGTCTCAGTTCATGAGTGAACCCCGTTTAGGTGGGAGCTCTGAAGTCCGTCAGCCTGCCTACCTGTCTGTCTGTCTGTCTGCCTGCCTGCCTGCCTCTGTCTCTCTCAACTAAGTGTGTTAGGTATATTACACCCTCGGTTGGAAGCAGTCAACTGTCAGTCAATCAGTCAACCGAGAGCAGTCAATCCCCCTACTACAGACAGCATACTGGCTCCACGGTGCAGACGTCACAGTGACGCCACCGTGCAGACGTCACAGTGACGCCACGGTGCAGACGTCAGAGTGACGCCACGGTGCAGACGTCACAGTGACGCCACGGTGCAGACGTCAGAGTGACGCCACGGTGCAGACGTCAGAGTGACGCCACGGTGCAGACGTCATAGTGACGCCACCGTGCAGACGTCATAGTAACGCCACCGTGCAGACGTCAGAGTGACGCCACCGTGCAGACGTCAGAGTGACGCCACCGTGCAGACGTCAGAGTGACGCCACCGTGCAGACGTCAGAGTAACGCCACCGTGCAGACGTCAGTACCAGCACATCAACAGTAGAAATGTATTATTACTAGTTCATCAGAGCAGACGTGTTTGGGTCAATATGTATAATATGTATCATCACCGGTACATCACGGCAGGTATACATGTTAACACCTGGTGATGTTAACCTGATCATGTTAACACCTGGTGATGTTAACCTGATCATGTTAACACCTGGTGATGTTAACCTGATCATGTTAACACCTGGTAACACTGCTGCAGGTGTCTGTGCAGACGGAAAGTTTCCTGGGACCTGTGCACGTGTGCGGGGGCACCATCATCTCTAACGACTACATCCTTACGACTGCACACTGCGTCAGTAGGTAGGTGGTGGTGGTGGTGGTGGTAGTAGTGGTAGTGGTGGTAGGTGGTGTGGTGGTTGAGTGCCGGCGGGGGGATGGAAATAGCCTCGGCTACCATCCTCTTTTGTCCGGTCGTGTTGGTCGAGTGGTTAAGGGGTCCTGTACATCAGTTGCATTGCTTCTATCAGTATGGATTCGAGTCACTTCTGGGGTGTGAGTTTTCAGTGGCATATATGCCTGGAGACCGTTCAGGCTTGTTCGCATTATATATATATATATACATATATATATATATATATATATATATATATATATATATATATATATATATATATATATATATATATATACACACACACACACACATTATACAGAAAATTTTCTTTTAATTAAAATTAATGACGTTTCGGATACATCTTCGTATTCATGAGATTTAAAATTAAAAACTAGCCAGCAAACAAGAAACTTCTACCGAACAACGCTACTTACTACAAAATAGGAGACATATAAAATGACACCACTTTTGCTATACAAAAAACAAAATATTTAAATTTAACTTACGTATATCGGCAAAACAAAGTAAAATTAAACTAATATTTTACTCTAGCAGCAAACACTAATTAAAATTTTAATTAAAATTGAAATCACTAAGAAAAACTTATATAAACCCGAAATAATTAAATCAGTTTAGATAATCTATTACACACAATATGAAAATACAAATATTACACAATAATTGACACTAAATATTATGTTAAATATTTTAATTAAGCAGAAATTATCACAAGACAAGACGTCACACAAAAAAAGAGCACCAAAACCTCACAACACGGGAGACTAAAAAAAAATTATTAAATAAAGTGAAGTTTCTTTGAAGCATAAACAAAAGGAAAACCAAACCATTGATAAGATTTATACAATATACAAATGGACAGCTGAAACATTATTATTTAACAGAGGCCACAGCTTCATGAGAATAAGAAAATAGCTGTCAGAATTCAATTTAAATTTCAGAAAAGGTGATAAATCCCCAAAATTCGTGATCCTCAAACAGTATAAATATATTGAAAAATAAACCTTATCCTCTCTGATCAAACTAAATTCCGAAGGATTACTTGGGACACGACTGCCGACCTGAAAACATAGGTAAACAGATTGGTTAAAACTGTCACTACCAAAATGTCTGGACTTCACCTGCGGAAAGCAACAGGAGAGTAAAAGCCTAATATACATACAGGACTATTATGACTTTCAAACATGAAAACCCACTTCGACCCTTCACCAGCCAGATGCCCACACCCACGTTAAGACTGGCTAAGCGACTCAACTCTCTGCTGACTCATACGCACCATGCTTGTTCAGCCTTAAGTCTCCAAAAGAATTTGTTGACATTGTCGCGTGTAAGCGGATAGGGGGAGGCCCAGACATCAGGAGTGAGAGCGTCTCTTGAAGTTGACTCTCTGTTCGCCATTGTGCCCGTGGATGACAATATTGGATTGATGATGGTCAGAGTTTATCGCGATCCAGTTTGCACTCTCACTGACGTCCTTGAAGGCACACTTAGGAAGCATGTACCAAGGAGGCAGCCTTCCTGGGTCCTGATGGGCGCATGTGTAAAGAGGTACACACAATGGGTTCCTTCCTTTGTGTCATATTTGGTAACTTTTATATTGGTGACATCGAACTGAAAGTCCTTGTTGACACGGGCCTAAAGCCGAGCGTCTGGTCCAGGTACGTAGACGACATATTCCTGCAGGTACCTGGTATTGAGCACTTGCTGCGGCTTAAGGAGGTATTCGAATGAAGTTCAGTGCTAAGGTTCACCTATGAGATCGACACAGGCGGTTGGTTACCTCCTGTCGTCTACGTACCTGGACCAGACGCTCGGCTTTAGGCCCGTGTCAACAAGGACTTTCAGTTCGATGTCACCAATATAAAAGTTACCAAATATGACACAAAGGAAGAAACCCATTGTGTGTACCTCTTTACACATGCGCCCATCAGGACCCAGGAAGGCTGCCTCTTTGGTACATGCTTCCTAAGTGTGCCTTCAAGGACGTCAGTGAGAGTACAAACTGGATCGCGATAAACTCTGACCATCATCATTCCAATATTGTCATCCACGGGCACAATGGCGAATAGAGTCAACTTCAAGAGACGCTCTCACTCCTGATGTCTGGGCCTCCCCCTATCCGCTTACACGCAGCAATAAGTCAACAAATTCTTTTGGAGACTTAAGGTTGAACAAGCATGGTGCGTATGGAGTCAGCAGAGAGTTGAGTCGCTTAGCCAGTCTTTAAGTAGGTGTGGACATCTGGCTGGTGAAGGATCGAAGTGGGTTTTCATATTTCAAAGTCATAATAATCCTGTATGTATATTAGGCTTTTACTCTCCTGTTGCTTTCCGCAGGTGAAGTCCAGACATTTTGGTAGTGACAGTTTTAACCAATCTGTTTACCTTTGTTTTCAGGTCGGCAGTCGATCGTGTCCCAAGTAATCCTTCGGAATTTAGTTTGATCAGAGAGGATAAGGTTTATTTTTCAATATATTTATACTGTTTGAGGATGACGAATTTTGGCGATTTATCACCTCTTCTGAAATTGAAATTGAATTCTGACAGCTATTTTCTTATTCTCATTAAGCTGTGGCCTCTGATAAATAATAATGTTTCAGCTGTCCATTTGTATATTGTATAAATCTTATCAATGGTTTGGTTTTCCTTTTGTTTATACTTCAAAGAAACTTCACTTTATTTAATGATTATTTTAGTCTCCCGTGTTGTGAGTTTTTGGTGCTTTTTTGTGTGACGTCTTGTCTTGTGATTATTTCTGCTTAATTGATATATTTAACATAACATTTAGTGTCGATTATTGTGTTTTCATAATATGTGTAATGGATTATCTAAAATGATTTAATTATTTCGGTTTTCCTGGGCAGTATGACAGTGTCAAGGGTCACACTGCATCACCTCTATAATGTCTGAGTTTATTCTTAACATTAAGTGCTTCATGCAAAATAGTGCAAGTATTTATTTCTGGTTGCTATAACTATAATTTCAACAGCTTTTCCTGCTTTTAGATGTTTTTATGCTGCATTGTATTTCAATATTTTTCCTGTCTTTCTTTCCGTCTTACTCATCTTCATCTGTTTTCTTCGCTTCTCCTCGTGGTACGGTGAACTGTGTGGGTGAGGGACGCAGGTTCGAGCCCAACACGGTGCGTATCGTGGCAGGCATCATCGACCTTAAGGACCCCGGCGGGCAGGTGTCGCATGCCAAGACCTTCATCCCCCACGAGTCCTACAACCCCATCACCAACGCTAATGACATCCTCCTTATCAAGGTCAGTGGTGCCGGCTGCCTCTCTCTCGGTAGATACGTTCCTTGCTCCGGAGATAACCTCACTGGAGGGATCTCTCATCTCTCCGTCAGTAGCACCTTGCAGGAGACATTTGTAGAATCTTTTCTTAGAAGGACATATCAAGTTATCTCTTAGTGTCTTTAAATATCATCTACATCTTCCAACTGTCTGCTACATCACTAGTGACTGTAGATACCCTGTGTCTAATTGGTATTTATGAAGTATTATCAACAGTCCTGCAATGCGTCGCCAAATATCAGCAACTTGAAATATTTCCTCTTGCATCAGTACCCCCTGAATGGCGTCCATAACATTCTACGTACAGTCCCCAACATCGTTCATGTACATTAAGCAACACGCAGCCTCCCCAACCCTCAGTGTATGTGTTTGGTTACAGCTGGAGGAGAAGCTGGTGTTTGGGGAGCTGGTGAAGCCGCTTGGGCTGCCTCCCAGTGGGGAGACGGTGCCAGAGGACACTGTCTGCACGGTGATAGGATGGGGCGCCACCATCCACAATGGCAACAGCAATAACAAACTGCAGAAGGTAAGTTGTTGGTTCTTTCTCGTTGTCTCTTCTTCACTGCTTAAATTTCAGTTTTCTCTCAGGTGATATCGTTAATTTTATTTGCAATTATATCCCAAATTTGTACAGTTATTGTCTTTTCTTACTTTACTTTTCAACTCTATCGCCAAAATGCTTCTACGGAATGAAAGAAAACCATTTGTTTCCTGAATCATGTAAAGGTCTCACATCTTAACTGATCATTGCTGCGACGAGCAGGAGATGAGTAGAAACTCATTGTTTGACATGAACAGATGCTCATGATGACTGCTCAGGTCTCATGTCATACGGTCTCCCAGCTTGCATGGGAGGGAGAGAAGGGAACTATCCGGGGGAAAGCGCCAAGCCATAGCGACTATATAACACAGGGAAGGGGTCAGGATAAGGATTTGGGATGGAACGGGATGGGAAGGAATGGTGCCTAACTACTTGTGGACGGTCGGTGATTGAACACCGACCTGCATGAAGAGAGACCGTCGCTCTACCGTCCAGTCCAAGTGGTTGGGACTGCATGAGAGGACGCCTCTCAGCCGGTATGTGATGAAAATGATTCAGCCTCCATGAAATTCTCTCAGCCAGCATAAGAGGAGCATGTCTCTCAGCCAGCATAAGAGGAGCATGTCTCTCAGCCAGCATAAGAGGAGCATGTCTCTCAGCTAGCATAAGAGGAGCATGTCTCTCAGCCAGCATAAGAGGAGCATGTCTCTCAGCCAGCATAAGAGGAGCATGTGTCTCAGCCAGCATAAGAGGAGCATGTCTCTCAGCCAGCATAAGAGGAGCATGTGTCTCAGCCAGCATAAGAGGAGCATGTCTCTCAGTCAGCATAAGAGGAGCATGTCTCAGTCAGCATAAGAGGAGCATGTCTCTCAGTCAGCATAAGAGGAGCATGTCTCTCAGCCTGTATAAAAGGAGCATGTCTCTCAGCCAGTATAAAAGGAGCATGACTCTCAGCCAGCATAAGAGGAGCATGTCTCTCAGCCAGCATAAGAGGAGCATGTGTCTCAGCCAGCATAAGAGGAGCATGTCTCTCAGCCAGCATAAGAGGAGCATGTCTCTCAGCCAGCATAAGAGGAGCATGTGTCTCAGCCAGCATAAGAGGAGCATGTCTCTCAGCCAGCATAAGAGGAGCATGTGTCTCAGCCAGCATAAGAGGAGCATGTCTCTCAGCCAGTATAAGAGGAGCATGTGTCTCAGTCAGCATAAGAGGAGCATGTCTCTCAGTCAGCATAAGAGGAGCATGTATTGTTATTTACCTGAGAGTCACTAACATTAGTGACCTCACCGACGACAGGAAGCCGGCGGCTTGTCGAAGGTCCCCCTAATTGACCTGATGATCTTTCTCAGTTTGACTTTAAAATTTAACAGAGATTTGGCAGTTACGGCTTCGGCGGGTAGGCGGTTCCATAGGTTTATAACTCTATGGGTGAAAAAGCATCTCCTGTTCTCAGTCCTTCATTATGGCTTGTTGAGCTTGAAACATTTACTCCTTGTTTGTGTTACATCTCACCTTCTGAAGAACACATCCGGATCAACATCCTCCAACCTCTTCAGTATTTTAAAAGTTTCAATAAGATCCGACCTATCATGTCTAGTTTGTAGTGTTGTTAGCCCTGTGGCCCTCAACCGTTCCTGATACGTGAGTTGACTTAGCACTGGAATGATTTTTGTTGCCCGGTGTTGCACTTTTATGATGCACTGTTGTTGTTGTTTTAGATTCAGCTCCGCGGAACAAAAAGTTGCAAGTAGCACGGGCTATGGTGAGCCCGTAGTGGACTTACCTGGCACAGGAGCGGGGCAAGTAGAACGGGCTATGGTGAGCCCGTAGTGTACTTAACTGGCACAGGAGCGGGGCAAGTAGAACGGGCTATGGTGAGCCCGTAGTGTACTTAACTGGCACAGGAGCGGGGCAAGTAGCACGGGCTATGGTGAGCCCGTAGTGTACTTAACTGGCACAGGAGCGGGGCAAGTAGAACGGGCTATGGTGAGCCCGTAGTGTACTTAACTGGCACAGGAGCGGTGCTAAAATTTCGGCGTGTAATTAGAGGAGGAGGAGAAAGGGATATATCCCCCAGTTCATCCCCTCTATGCGTGACAGTTCCCTGTCACCACGCCCAGTCATCTTCCACTCTTATACTGCTCCAGTGTTACAAAGTGAACGTCATTAGGCTATGACAGCATTTAGGCTTGCTATATGAGTATACTGATTTACAGAGCTAGTATTAATTTGCAATTTGATTTGTACTTAAGTCCCAGTGGCCAGAATCATATCAGTTAATTGAATTTGAACTTTTCTATTTATTAAATGTTGTTTTATGTTACTGATGGGTTTACGTATGTAGTTTCCATTTTTAACTATTTACCAAATGAGTTGAGCTGAATGTAGAGTTACACTATTGAGGTAATTAACACTGTGGGAAAGATTGTTCAGTTGATATATGCAGGGGAGAGGCTTATTAATTTGTCAAGGGCGAGGCTACGCTTAGGTGGAGGAAGACCTTGGATGTATCAGAGCACAGAACGTCAGGCAAAGTGAAGACCAGAGTGTATAATTGATTCTCACGCTGACAACATCAGCAGACAGCAAGACACAACAGCCCTGACATAGTGCTATGGATGATATCAAGGGTACTCAACTTCTCGGTCTCCTTCCCTAGCGGTGTGCACAGTAAATGCTCTAGTTTCAGTTGAAGTGAGAATTAGATCTCTGGAATTAGATCTTAGAATTAGTCTCTGGGCGCGGAAATCTTAGTACCTCACGCAAGACAACAAAGGGTTCCATATTCTCGGCTTGACTCTGCTCAGGGGTGCCTGGTCGCCTTTGGAAGTTAAGTGGAGTTCTTTTCCTGACTCAGACGCATGAAAGGGAGAACGTGTGTCACAGTGTGTGTGTCGTTCTTGATGTGTGAGTGTGTCGTTGATGAACTTTTCGATTTTAGAGGAGCAAAATAAAGCTCATAAAACAGGCTTCATATTGATGTACTTAGAGAGCACAGCAGGCAGCCTGTTGATGTACATACCTACACAACATACAAAGCGCATTATGTTGATGCATCTACATAAAACAAGCAAGTAAAACTTACCGCCACAAATCCTCAACTAAAACTTGTTGTTTTCCCGTCATAAACAATTATAGCAATGAATTTATAGAAGGGAACCCGACAGTAACTAAATCATAACTCCGGTTTGTCCTCAGGTGGACGTCGCCGTGGTGTCGGATGAGACTTGTAGGCTGTCGTACGGCCAGGAGGCAGTGGAGCCTAGCATGATGTGTGCCGGTTGGTCCGACGGCCACGCCGACGCCTGCCAAGGGGACAGGGGCGGCCCGCTCCTGTGCTGGGGACGCCTGCATGGTTTGTCCTCGTGGGGGGAAGATTGTGGCAACCCTTTTTACCCGGGCGTGTATACTGAGGTGGCTTACTTCAGAGACTGGATTATCATACACGCTTCAGCGATGGATCATTAACACGTCACACACTCCTAGATACTTCTCGCACTCCTAAACACACTAAGAAACCTACTTAGGCCTACTGAGGTCACACTAGGCCAACAACTGACCCTCCCCAGGTCAGTTGTTACCACCCATAACAACGGCAACAAGCAATCACAATGGCTGCTGCAGCAATCACAACAGCTGCTGCAACAATCAGGCGCTACAGCTGCAACAATCACAACAGCTGCTGCAACAATCAGGCGCTACAGCTGCAACAATCACAACAGCTGCTGCAACAATCAGTCACAACAGCTGCAACAATCACAACAGCTGCCCAACTCCCAGGAACCTATTTATTTCTTTAAGAAAGTGTTGTGGTGTGGCAATAGGCTCGCTCAGTGCCCAGCGAGCGATTATTTACCCAGTGTTGGCAACTTGGTTGTAATAATTTAATAATATTTATAAATTATTTTAATTATCATTCAATTATGCAGGCGATGAGTCACAATAACGTGGCTGGAGTATGTTGACCAGACCACACACTAGAAGGTGAAGGGACGACGACGTTTCGGTCCGTCCTGGACCATTCTCAAGTCGATTATGTCGACTTCTCAATTCACAATCGACTTGTGTCTATGTATATATTAACACGTTGTACTGAACGGGGTGAGAATAGCTTGAGCTACCTCATCCCTTTGTGTGTATTTTACCTCAAACTTATTTCAATTTCAATTTCAATTTCAATCGACTTGAGAATGGTCCAGGACGGACCGAAACGTCGTCGTCCCTTCACCTTCTAGTGTGTGGTCTGGTCAACATCATTCAATTATTATGAATGGCAGGGGTTGTATTCCTAGGAAAACTGGTAAGATAAGATTTAAGATGAGGTACGGGAAGGAATAGGTATAAGGCTGCCAAAAAAAAAACTTAGACTCGTCTGCTTCTGAACCCGCCAGCGTAAGAAAAACACGCCTAATCGTCTCCGTCCTGGACAGGAATCTAAGGCTCTAGGAGACTCGAACCATGTACCCCACGCGTGTGAGGACGAAGCTCTAGTCTGGGTTTTTAGCTAACCCGTAACTTTTTGGTTGTCCATCTTCCACAATGTTGTTTAAGATTTGCTACTTGGAACAAAAAGTTTGAAGTAGCACGGGCTATGGTGAGCACGTAGATCTTCCACAAGCCACAATAACCAGTAAGGTCAGGAGTGGCCATCAAGTTCGGCGTCCAGCAGAATCCTGTGGAGTCTGGCTCACTTGTGATGGGTTATGGCGTCAATTGAATTACACACTCAGCTGGTATTCTCAGTTATGATTTCTGAAACTATAGTAGTCTTAGATGTTTATAAGATCAACGCAGTTCAGTTTTTGATTTCATAATTAGGAATACATCTGAACATAAAGGGGCACCCGCACCACAGAAAACAGGTGAGGCATCATACCGTCCCCTACAGAAAGAACATTTAAAATTTTCAAATTCAAATTCAGGTAAAGTACATACATACAAGGTGCGATACAAATATTGATGAATGTATAGATAGAGCTAATACATACAATGCCTAAAGCCACTATTACGCAAAGCGTTTCGGGCAGGAAAAACACTAAAGACTAAAACTTAATACTAATTGAGATTTCAATATATCATTGACTATTATATTTTTGTATTTAAGAGTATAGCATGCTATAGTTGGCTAGGCTTCCTATTATCATGGCAAGAAACCTAATGAGGTCACACTAGGTCAATAACTGCATGTCAAATGAGCATGTTGAAGGACTAAGTATTCAGAGAATTATCCATCTATAGACACCTTTTTTATCCATCTATATACACTATTTAGCAGACATTGTGAGGGACAGGCTTTGGGAAGATTGCCTCATTCATCACGAGGATTTTTCCAAATGTATTTTAAACTGTAGTACTGTCTTCATATATATGTATGAGCGAACAAGCCTGAACAGTCTCCAGGCATATATGTAACTGAATATATGTGTGAGTTTTCAGTTATATATGTATGTCTTGAATGCATAAGAGATTCTATACGTTGATAAATCGAGGCTTCATGAAAAAGAATCTGTTACTCATTTTTGTAAGTAACAGTTGAGTTTTTAAAATAAACGCTCTGGATTATTGTATTCTGAAATTCCCAATATTTAAAGTGTCAACGAGATGCAGTCTGTTTTGTCTAATTGCTTGAAATTGTGTTAGACCTGTAACCCTCAGCCCTTCTTGATCACATCTGGACAAATATAACCTCTCCGCTTACTTCAGGTATAATCACCGATAGCACTACAGACCATTACCCCACATTTCTCTTAACTAACATTAGCAAACCACCTCTTGAGTCAAGAGAGATACGTTTTAGACTACACAATGAAACTGCTATAGACAATTTTATAACTGCTACTGATAATGTCAACTGGGAGTCCGAGTTAGGTAACATAGAGGACATCAACCTAGCAGTTCAATCTTTTCTTCAAATAACTCTTAGCCTTTATAATACCCACTGTCCTATGCTTACAAAACAAGTCACAACCAAAAGGCTTAACAATCCTTGGCTTACAAAGGGAATACTTAAATCTATTAATAAAAAACATGACCTTGAGAAAAAGTATAGGTTAGGGATTGTCTCCAAAGAATTCTCAAAGAATTACTCATTATTGCTATCTAAGATAATTAGACGAGCCAAAACTAAATACTACGAAGATAAATTTACCCAAATAAAGAGCAACATTAAACAAACATGGAGAACAATTTCACAAATATTGGGATCAAAAAAGTCTTTAAATAGCAAGCCGACTCTCCTGTCTAATAACGATGGTCAGCTTTCAGCCTCTGATTCTGCTATTGAGTTCAATAGGTTCTTCTCTTCCATTGGTTCATCCCTTGCTAATGATATTCCATCTTCCAGTACTGACATTAAGGACTATCTTACAGGGAACTATCCCCAGTCTCTGTACCTAAAGCCTATTAATTCCATTGACGTCAATGAGATAATCCTTTCCCTTAAAACCAAGTCTGGTGCCCTTGAGGAGATACCAACTTTAATCTACAAAAAAGCCTCCAGATCTTTAGCCCCTGCTATTGCTTTGCTCTTCAACAAGTCACTTGAACTCCAAACCTTTCCAGATATTCTAAAAAAAGCGAGAGTAACGCCTGTCCACAAATGTGGTGATCTCACAGATGTTAACAACTACAGACCTATATCAATCCTGCCAAACTTGTCAAAAATTTTTGAAAAACTAATCTATAAGCAGCTTTACTCATATCTAGCCAAACTCAATATACTTAGCCCTTGCCAATATGGCTTCAGGCCCAAAAAAAGCACTAACGATGCACTTATTAGTATGCTTAACTCGATTCATACAGCTCTTGATAAAAATGAGTTCCCTGTTGGGTTATTTGTGGACCTGCGTAAAGCTTTCGATACTGTCAACCACCAAAACCTTCTTCTTAAATTACATCATTATGGTGTCAGAGGACACTCCCTACAATACCTCAAATCCTACCTTACTGACAGGCTCCAATGTGTTTCTGTGAATAATACAATTTCGCCCACCCTACCCATCAACATTGGTGTTCCCCAGGGCAGCATACTTGGCCCTCTCCTCTTTCTCATCTACATTAATGACCTTCCAAATGCCTCCCAACACCTCAAACCAATCCTATTTGCTGACGACACAACCTTCATTTACTCCAGTCCTGATCCCCTTGCTCTAAATGCCACAGTAAATACTGAGCTAAATAAAGTCCATCTGTGGCTAACTGCCAACAAACTCACCCTTAACATTGACAAAACTTTCTATATTCTGTTTGGCAATAAATCCTCTAATCAAATAAATCTCAAAATAAACAATACCCAAATTTGTAACAAATTAGATGGCAAATTCCTTGGCATTCTCATTGACCACAAGCTGAATTTCCAGGGACACATTCTAAACATATCAAAAAAAGTTTCAAAAACTGTGGGCATTCTTTCTAAGATCAGATATTATGTACCACGCCCTGCCCTGGTGACTCTCTATTACTCCCTTATCTATCCATATCTCAACTATGGTATTTGTGCTTGGGGCTCTACTACCCAAAATCACTTACGTCCTCTAATTACTCAACACAAAGCTGCTATTAGGACAATATCCAACTCTGGCCCCAGACATCACTCGGTACCCCTACTCAAATCTCTGAATATGTTAGACATTAAGTCACTGCACATTCACTCATGTGTATTATACATATACAAAACGCTAAATTGTAATGCCAATCCTGATCTCAAAAGCTTCATAGAAGGTTGTAACAGAACCCATGAGCACCACACCAGAAATAAATACAGTTTTGATATTCCTAGAGTACGACTTAATCAAACCAGAAATGCTCTACAAATCAAGGGGCCCAGGATGTGGAATGACCTTCCCAACCATGTTAAAGACAGTACCTCTCTCAACCAGTTTAAGTTAAAAACGAAGCTATACCTAATAAATTCCATGTAACCTACCTTACCCTTCTATTGTCAACCCATGTATGTTTTTTTTTTTTTTTTTTTTTTGTTTTACAAATCAACGCTGTTTTAATGTAATTTTCTGTAATAATTTATAATTGTATTTGTGCTGTTTTTTCAACAATGTTCCCCCCCTCTTTTACCTCTATTTTTATTTGTACTCAACGCATTTTTTTCTTTTTACCCATTAGTTTTAAGCTTTAGTCAGTAGTGTTTTTTCCTGCCCGAAACGCTTTGCGTAATAGTGGCTTTAGGCATTGTATGTACTAGCTCTATCTATAAAGCCAACAAACTTTGTAAAATCTCTTTATGTATGTACCTTTGCCTAAATAAAAATTATTATTATTATTATTATTATTATTATGGTAGAAGGCATTAGCAGTCCCCGTGGCGCAGTGGTAAGACACACGCCCCGCGCTTAGTAACTGATTTGGCTTGGGTTTGTATCCTGGCCGGAGGAGGAGTGATTAGGCGCCAATCCTTAACTGTACGCCTCTGTTCACACAGCGGTGAATGGGTGTTATTAAATGATTTGGCGGATAGCATTCCGGGGAAAATTAAGGTTAAGATCCTGCCCGAAACGCTATGCATGCTACTGGCTTTACAAGAATGTAAGAACTCTTGTACAGTATATATAAATAATAAAAACTAAAGCTGGCTAAGTACAGGAATGAATACTACAGCTCTGTGCTAAGCTTTTTCTCCCAATATTACCAGAGGCCTGGAACAGTTCTCCCAATATTACCAGAGGCCAGGAACGGTTCTCCCAATATTACCAGAGGCCAGGAACAGTTCACCCAATATTACCAGAGGCCAGGAACAGTTCTCCCAATATTACCAGAGGCCAGGAACAGTTCTCCCAATATTACCAGAGGCCAGGAACAGTTCTCCCAATATTACCAGAGGCCAGGAACAGTTCTCCCAATATTACCAGAGGTCAGGAACAGTTCTCCCAATATTACCAGAGGCCAGGAACAGTTCACCCAATATTACCAGAGGCCAGGAACAGTTCTCCCAATATTACCAGAGGCCAGGAACAGTTCTCCCAATATTACCAGAGGCCAGGA